ATCCCCGGCGCCAAGGAGGACGGCCAGGCCATGGACGCCACCATCAACTCCTCGGTGATGCCCTTGTCACCCAAGAAACAGCGCGGCGCCGCGCCCGCCGCCAAGGGCGCCAAGCGCAAGCGAGCCGTGAAGCAGCAGCCGCCGCCTGCGCAGGACGAAGAGGTGCAGCAGCAGCCGAAGGAGAGCGAAGCCGAGAAGGGCGAAGCCGACCAAGAGGAGGAGGGCCAGGGGTCGCAGAAGAGCGCCAGGGCCAAGCGTCCGCGACGCGCCAAGAAGCAGCCGGCGCGCGAAGAGGAAGAGACGGCGGCCAACGGCGAAGAAGCCGACGAGGACCCCCTCATGACGAACAAGAAGAGCGGCGGCGGCGGCAGCCAGGGAGGCAGCCAGACCAAGGAGGCCGACGGTGGAGACGAGGAGGAGAGCAGCGCCCCCAGCACTCCCACCAAGAAGGTGGTGCGACGGAAGCTCGCCCGCCGCACCACCCGAGGCGGCGGCCACTAAAGCTTCTCTTCTGTTCCGTCGTCTTCGTCGTAAGAAGGAATAAACGAGCAACGTGTTGTAAAAAAAGTGTGTGACGACTCTCATGTTGCTGTGTTGGAAGAAGAAGAAGAAAGGCAGTAATTTACAGAACAAAGTAGAAGAGGAAGAGGAGGATGGCGAGGAGGTAGAGGAGGACGACCCAGGAGGAGAAGAGGGAGGGCTTTCGCTTCTTGCCGGTGGCGAGGTAGTGCTGCACCTCGTCCTCGACCAGGGCGGCGCCGTGGAGCACGATGGGCACGCCGGTGCCGGGGTGGACCGAGGCGCCGACGAAGAACATGTTGTCGTAGGTGGCGTGGCAGATGCTGGGCCGCATCCACCCGATCTGGGTGACGTTGTGGCTCAGGCCCAGCGCGGCGCCGTGCTGGAGGTTGAACTTGTCTCGCCAGGTGAGCGGCGTGTTGATGCGCTCGGAGATGATGTGTTGGCCGATGTCGAAGCCGAACTTGGTGTGGAACACGTTGAAGACGTACTTGCGCGCGTAGTCGGTCAGCTTGTCCCAGTCCTGGAGGCGGTCGGCCTTGATGCAGCTGATGGGCACCAGCACCGTCACCGCGTCCTTGCCCCGGTCGGGCGACGCCGACGGATCGATGCGCGACGGGACGTGGATGTAGAACGACGGGTGCTGCGGCAGCCCCGAGTTCTGGAAGATGTCGTCGAACGACTTCTTGTAGTCGCCGTTCAGGAAGATGTTGTGCGCCGACAGCTGAGGCACCTCACAATCCAGACCCCTTTGTTCGTAACAACATGAGGAATGTGAGAAAAGCAGAAGATGATGTGGGTGATGATGGTGACGGTGACGGTGATGATGATGAGGGGCTGGTACCAGTAGAAAGAGATGGTGGAGGCGGTGTACTCCAGCTGGTCGACCTTCTTGGCGTAGGGGGTGGCGGGGAGGAGGTTGTTGTAGGCCCACGGCGCGTCCGCATTGCAGACCACCGCGTCGGCCTTGACGTACGACCCGTCCTGCAGGAGCACGCCCCACACCTTGTTCGTCTTGCTGTCCAGCACGATCTCCTGCCCGCACCACACGAAACACACATGACACACACGCGCGTGCCACGAACAAAAAGATCAGCACACGGCACACAACAAAAGAACGTGCGAAGGGCGTGTAGATGACATGTCTCTACGGCTGGTGGCGTGTACCTTGACGTTGCCCCTCTCGCCAAAGTGGAACTGCGCGCCGTGCTGGGTGGCGATGGACTCGAGCGCCGACACCACCGAGTGCATGCCGCCCATCGGGTACCACACGCCCTCTGCACCCATAAAAGTGAAGCGTGCCGTCAGCACTCACACACGTGTGCGTGTGCGGTCGCGCGTGCGTGCGTGCGTGCGTGCGTGCGTGCGTGCGTGCGTACCGGTACACTCGGTGTAGGACAGCAGACTGAAGGTGGCGGGCGAGTCGTAGGGCGAGATGCCCATGTACTGGAGAGGGAGAAGTTGGGCGGTGATATGATCGATAGATCATCGGGGACAGATCTCAGCAGGCTGTGCGTACCATGGTCTGGAAGCTGAAGGCCTGTCGCAGCTTGCTCGAGGAGAAGAAGTTGGCGGTCCGCTGGTAGAGCTTGTTGAAGACGTGCAATCGCCACACCATCGAGAGGTGCTTCGGGTGGAAGAACTCCCACCTGCCAAGCGCCACATGTGAGTGCTCTACACGACGAACACAATACTACGCGACACACGCGACACACACGACACACACACGACCACACACGACACACACAGTTGGGCGCGTACCAGGCGTTGAAGTTCTTGCTGAGCATCTTGGTGACCGAGTCGTTGTAGTGCACGCCGGCCTCTTTCATGTAGGCGAGGAAGCCCAGGAAGGCGCCCTCCTCTACCTTCTCCAGCTCGCGCTGCATCTGGGCCATGTCGGAGGTGAGGGTGATGTGGGAGCCGTCGTCGAAGAACATCCTGTAGTTGGGATCGCACTTGACCAGCTTGAGATGGTCCTCGATGTCGACGCCCAAATCGTCGAAGGTCTGCTTGTAGGATTGCGGCATCAAGTAGAGACTCGGGCCCTGGTCGAATCGAAATCCCTCGGGCGTGTGGATGAGCGAGCATCGGCCACCGCTGAATGCGTTCTTCTCGAGCACGGTCACGCGGTAGCCGTGCTTCTTGGCCAGACGAGCTGCCGTGGCCACGCCGCCCACGCCAGCGCCGATGATCACCACGTGCCTGCGGCCATCTTCCACACCACCGGCTGCAGAGGCTGAAGATGGCGGGAGCAGTCCGGCCTCTACGTCGTCGCCCACGTCCCTAGCATCCCATTCTTCCCGCTTCAACATCGCGATCTGATCTTGTGTGTTGGAGATTTGTGAAGCTACACGAATTCGAAATCGACGCTGATTTTTTGCAGGCGAGGCGAGCGGCAGACAACGCCACAATATTGAATGGAAATGTACCTGTGTTGTTGGCTTTTACACGTGTAAAAGGAGGGAAAGATGGCGTAAAGAAGAGGGAACAGTTACTCTCATCTTACGCCTTTTGTACTCTGGTTTCGTGCCATTCTCGTGGAGCTGATCACTCGCTCGCCCAGTGGCTGATAATGCGTAGGTGTGCGCGGAAATCACGTGTGAACAAAACGTGTTCCAATCCGTCGATTGGTCGCGGAATGATCGCAATTATGGAAATAGGCCGTGCACCAATGGCCTAATTCTATTGCGGGGACCTCGCTCCGAAATTTCCGTTACCGCGCTGTGGTACCTGGTGGCGTTTACAACTCACTGCCCCATCTTGGTGGAGGTCTAGGGCTTGGATCTTGCATTCTCCTACACAAAACAAGAAGAGCTCTAGCATAAGAAGAGACAGGAGGTTGAACGAGCCTCTACGAGCACGGCCACAACATGTTGACCTACACGCAGGTGCTGTTCCTGCTGGTGGTGCCGCCCGCGCTGGTGCTGGCCTTCCTGACGCGGCCGATCGTGGGCAAGATGGAAGTCTACAAGCTGCTGGCCCTCGTCGTCATCGCCTTCGTCTACTCCACGCCATGGTACCTCCATCTCTTCATCTCCATCTTCCGCGTAGCGAGTTTACACGATTTTGAAACAAATGGCGATTCTCACCCCGTTCGCACCTCTCGTTGCTGCAGTCCTTTACAAGTACTTTTTATCATCTATTTATCTTTTATTTCAATTTAATCGATTTTTAAAATAAATAATAATAACTACTTCATTCCGGAGCTCAGTTTGTCCACGCCTGACACCGTGGTGTGTGCCGTGTGTGTCGTGCGTGCCCACCACTTGAACCCCAGGGACTACTTCAAGCTGGCTCACGGGGTGTGGGGCTACTGCGAGGGCTGCGTGCTGTTCACGGTGTGGCTGATACCGTTCGAGGAGTACTGCTTCTTCATCCTGCAGACCGTGATCACCACCCTGTGGAGCACGCTCGTCTTCTACCCGCAGCTCCCGCTCCTCCGCTTCCTCGCCGCCCGGCCCGGCGCCCTCTCCTCCTCGCGCCTGGCCACCCTCTTCCCCGTGCTCCTCTTCGGCGCCCTCGGCCTCCTCGGCTGGCACATCGCCACCCCCAACACCCCCAGCTTCTACCTCGGTACCATATCGCCACATTCTTCTTGTCGACACATGCATTCTTGGATAGTATGCTCCCCTATATATATCACCAACATACTGATATAACAAACAACATGTTGATGCTGTTGCTGGTGATATATGTTGGTGGTGTTGTAATGTTGAGCAGGATCGATCATGTGGTGGGTGTCGCCGGTGTTGATGCTGCAGTGGGGCCTGGCCGGGCGCTACATCATGCGAATGGGCGCCGGGCCGGTGCTGACCGCCATCCTGGCCCCGACGTTCTATCTGTGGTTCGTCGACGTGGTGGCGCTCAACAACGGGGCCTGGTTCATCGCCCGCGGCACGAAGCTGGACGAGCTCGAGCTCCCGATGGCGCTGCCGATCGAGGAGGCCACCTTCTTCCTGGTGACCAACGTCATGATCGTGTTCGGATTCCTCACGTGGGACCGCACCGTGTGCATGGCCGAGAACTGCGCCGAGGGCGGCCGCCTGGTGGGCAGCGACGTCCACGTCGACACCGCGCAGCTCGTCAAGCGATACATCGCCGCCGTCTTCAAGTCCGACGACGAGATCTCAGGTTCCATCATCATTACCACCATCATCTTCTTTAACGACAGCCACAAGAAGAAGAAGAAAGAAGAAAAAGAAAGAAGAAGGTTGGCCCTGACGTGTGATGGGTGCGGTGGTGCAGAGAAAGCGGTGGAGGATGTGAGCCTGTCGCTGCGGCTGATCACGAAGGGCTCCAAGTCGTTCCACCTGGCCTCCACCTTCTTCCCGCCCGGCGTGCGCCAGGTACGTACCAACAGACCCATCTAGGCCGAATGGGCAACCACTCAACATCACTCATGTCGCGTGTCGTGTCGTGTCGTGTTGCGTGTGTGCGAGAACAGGATATCATGCAGCTGTACTCGTGGTGCCGCGTGTGCGACGACCTGGTGGACGACAAGCTCGCGCAGAAGAACCACGCCTTCGTGCGCCAGTTCTTCGACAACTTCCTCGACTCGGTCTACGCCGACGACGCGCTGGCCCCGTCGGGCTCCATCCGCACCAGCGACCCGGCCTCGTCCATCGTCATCCGCCCGGCCGGCGAGCGCCACCTTAAAAACCAAGACGGCGACCACCTTAACGAACTGCGCGAGGTGGTCGTCGTCAGCGCCACGCCGAGCGAGAGCGTGCTCGACAAGCTGCTGCCGTTCGAGAAGATCTCGTCGTTCCGCTGCATCAAGCGCCTCGTCGACAAGTACCACATGAAGCGCGAGGAGCTGGCGGAGCTGATCGACGGGTTCAAGCTCGACATGGACATGGACCGTCGCGAGGTCAAGATCGGCACCACGGACGACCTCATCCACTACTCGTGCTGCGTGGCCGCCTCGGTGGGCGTCATGTGCTGCCGCATTTTCAACATTCCGAGCCATCGCACCGACGTCTACGAGCGCGCCCGCGACATGGGCATCGCCCTCCAGCTCACCAACATTGCCCGGTAAACGACGCACGACGCACGACACACGACACACGACGACACGTATGAAGCACGACATGGCATGGCATGCTGACTGCGTGCGGTTGCGTTGCAACACAGGGACATTGTGACGGACGCGAAGATCGGGCGGGTCTACGTGCCGCTGCAGTGGTTCGAGAGCGAGCAGGAACGGCAGGAGCTGCTGGACCACCCGTGGAAGAACCCCGGCCGCCTCCGCCAGTTCGCCGAGTCACTCATCAGCCTCTCCGAGCCCTACTACCGCCGCGCCGAGGAGGGCGTCGCCATGCTGCCCCACGAGGTACGCACCGTGTGTGTCATTGTGTCATTGTGTGTGTGTGCGTGTGCGTGTGCGTGTGCGTGCTCACGTGGGTGCACACAGGCACAGAAGCCGGTGATGCTGGGGCTGCGGTTCTACAAGGAGATCGGGCACATCATCCTCAAGAACCCGTCCTACCCGGAACGCGCCCACGCGCCCCTGATGGACAAGCTCGCCATCGCACTCCGGGTCTACTTCCCCCCGACCTACCGAGACATCGGCGTGGCCCTCGGCTACTCTCTCTTCCTTGCCTGCCTCTTCTTGTGATTTTATTATTTATTTATTCTTTCGAAGATATTTATTTTGATAAACTTGGCCGAAATTCGGTGCAGTAGTTGGAGTGGATTTGAATTCTGGTTGGTTGTAGTGGCGCTGACGTGGCACCACAGAAATGCGGTGTTCGAGCAAACTGGTGTTGTCGAGATCACACCACATCGATCAATTTATCAACATCGCACATTCTATTGTCAATCGCCATGTCTGAGAAGTCTGGATTCATTTGGGCCGTGAGGACTGGTGATGTGAAGGGCGTCCAGGATGGCCTTTCTAAGGGCGAGAACGTGAACCAGGTCGATGAGACCGTGAACAGGCGCACGCCTCTTCACCACGCCGCTGACTTTGGTCACGCCGAGGTCCTCCAGATGCTCATCGCCAAGGGCGCTGACGTACGCTTCCCATCCCTTCCCCTAGGGTCAGCATACGTGGAAATGCTAATGGATTCCTCTACACATTTTTGCACCATTTCCAGGTGAACGCTCAGGATGCTTTCGGCATTACGCCCCTCCTGGCCGCCGTCTACGAGGGTCACACCGAGGCTGTGCAGGTGCTGGTCAAGGCCAAGGCTGACGTGAACGCCAAGGGACCTGATGGCATGAGCGCTCTCGAGGCTGCCGAGAAGGATGAGGTCAAGGCCATTTTGAAGTCTGCTGGTGGTACGCTTCCGCTCCTTCTTCCATGAATCAGTCCCCCCCCCAACCAACATCCTCGCCTCACACACTCTTCCTCGGCCACATCACAGCCAAGTAAAAATGTGTGGAAAACAAAAGGACTGGGTGGCCTGGCGAATGCGAAGCCCCCTCAATTCGTGTACTGTGGTTCGATCAAATTAGCGCTATGAAGTCACACCTGTACTCTCCTAGCAATACCGCCTTGCCCCCCTCCCGCTCACTTGTTTCAATTTAACAATTATTTCTCATTTCGAAGCTCATCATCCGAAGCATCGCTCTCTCTCTTCTTCGAGGCGGGACTCTCTCGTTCCCCTGCGCCTTGTCATGGCCTGTTGGCGAACGTCACCTTCCTGTATGTACAGCCACCAACCACCCATCAGCACCATGAAGAGGTGAGCAGTGAGTTCGAGCTCGTGGTGGCCGACGCGGGAGAGAGAGCACTGGCCACGCACCCGCTGGCTTTGCGCACGACTGGGCTGCCCGTGACCGACAGCCCGCTGCTGAGAGTCCTGCTCAGCAGCTTGCGGCCGCTGGCGGTTGAGTGGCTGCCGCTGCCGCTCCCGTTCCACTCGGCCGACGCCGTCGGGGTCGGACGTGCCGAAGCAGCCGCCGGCGCTGCAGTCGTCAGCACCACCGCGGGCGCGTTGGCGGCCGGTGTCGTCACTGGTGCCGGCGCCTCGTGCGCGTTCGGCACGACGTCACTCTTCTTGGGCGGCCACGGCTCCTGGGTGTTGGCGAAGGCCAGCTGCAGGTACTTGGCCTTGATCCACATCTCCCGTTCGTCCCTGTCATGACACACACAACACAACACACGACACACGACACGCACAACACACGCGCGCTACGCCGTGAGTTTCATGGTGGCTCTGTTGTGGCCGTAGCTGTTGGGCTGTTACCCGGAGTCGTGCTTGATGCGGCTTGCGTTGTTGACGCCGATGTTGAGTTCGTAGTGTCGATTCGACTTGCTGTTGCCCATCGCCTCCATGAACTGAGAAAGAAGCGTGTAAGTGGTGGTGAAGAAGAAGAAGAAGCAAAAGAAGAGAGGTGGACGGGAGGGTGAGAGCACGTACGTCGAGCACGTCGGGGTCCCACTTGTCCATGGTGACCGAGCGGACCTGCGAGACGTGCACGCCCATGTTCCTGTGTACACCGGCGCACTTGATGCAAATAAATATCCCCAGGTTGATCGACGCCCAGATCGGGTCTGGCGTGTAGAGGGGTAGAAGAAGAAGAAGAACGACGAGAGACAAAGGCATGCGTGAGTACCAGTCGGCCGAGGGGAAGGCAGAAGACGAAGCAACAAAAGAATGAAAGCGTGAGGATGTGCCAGCAGGGATATGGCACCTGGAGCGCTGCAGTCGGCGCAGATGGAGTTGTCTTCTCGCTTGAGGAGTTCGCCGAGCCGCTGCTTGCTCAGCTTGAGAGCGTCGTTGATGGACCCGTCCACGTACTGGCTCTCCGTTGTGCTCGACTGTTACCGCACACACCGCACACGCACACACACACCGCACACGCCACGATCGCACGCGCGCACACGCATTAAGCCCGACATCGGGAATCGGGAAACGATCAAGACCAGGGCCTGGTCGTACGTCGAGGGAATACTGGAGGGCGCTGCCCATGAGTCGCGTCTGGGCCTCCTGGATCACCGTCACCCACTCGAGCATGTCCGAGCCCTGACCGTTGCCAACCCAACGCGCGGTCAGTGGACATGGAACACGACACGCACACACGCACACACGCACACGCATACACGACCACACCACACGCCAAAACGCACCGTATCGGCCGAGATGAGGAAGCTCCGCTTGGAAGTGACGAGGTCGAAGCAGAATTTCCGCTTGGCGGCCGTGATCTTGGCCACCTTGGCCGAGCAGAAGATCACGTCCACCTTCTCCGCGAAGTGCTTGCCCGCCTTCTTGTCCATCTACACCCCCCGACATTACACCACCTCGCGGGTCAGGCGCCATCAAGGTGTGGCGCGCGCGCGTGCGTGCGTGTGATTTGTGCTGTCGTGTGTCGTGTGTCGTGTGTCGTGTGTCGTGTGTCGTGTGATCAGCGAGTCACCTTCTCGGATTTGTAGAAGTTGATGGACCCCTCGTGCAGGACGGTGTAGAGGCGCTTCCAGCCGCCCCGGAATCCGCCGCACTTGACCCGCACCCAGCCCTCCCGCTCGTGCACGTAGTCCCGCCCGTCGTCCCCGTCCCCGTTCCCGCCCCGGCCCGCCTCCTCCTTGACAGCCGCCGCCGTGTGGCTCCGCTTGTCCGCTACGTGCCCCCACCCCCCAATCGCTCATAAGACACACCGCGCACACGACGAACACGACACGCACGACGCGCACGACATGCACGACACGGCGAGGTGTGCGTACAGCGGCCAGCGTCGCTGTTGCGTCGCTGGTGCTGTGTGTTGATGGCGGGCTTGCGGTGTGGCGGCTGCTGGAGGTGCGGCGGCAGATCGTCGAGTACGAGCGGGGGCGGCAGGGCCGAGAAGGCCGCGGCCGAGGGGAAGCCGCCGCCGCCGCCGCCGCGGTCGGACAAGGCCGAGGGCATGGGCGAAGGCGGCGGGAACGAGGTGGGCGGCAGGAGCTGCAGCGGTGTCGGCCGCGGCCGCGGCCGAGAGTCTGTGAACGCCGACGACCACTGCGATGACGTCAGCGGCACCGGCAATGCCGAAAGCGAGTGCGAGAGCTGGACGCCGGAGCCGCCGGACGACGATGACGACGACGACGAGCCGGCCGTGGCCGACGAGGAAGTGGAGGTGTAGGGCCGGCGGGCGACGGTGGTGAATGGAGTCGTCACGGAGCCGGCGAAGGTGCCCGAGCGCGGGGAGAGCTTGGGAGGGAGCGGGGTTCGCGGCGAGACCGGGGCCATGACGGGCGCGGAGGACGGGGATGGGACTTCGCGCTGCCAATGGCGCGGCGACGGCTGCGGCTGCGTCGGCGGTTCTTTGCTCCGGCGGAGGGTGCCTCCCGTCCGCGGCAGCCCCGACTGTGGGCCATACGACAGCCAGCAATGCTTAGCGACGTAGAAGCGAACAAACACCGCACACAACACACCGCCCACCGCACACCGCACACCGCACACACACGCACACACACGCTCGAGCGTACGTTTCGGAGCATGGCGTTGGCGCCGCGCAGGGCGACGATCCACTGGAAGTAGTCCATCTCTTCCTTGGCCGCGCACTCCATGCGCGTGCTCAGCCCTGCCACAACACGTGTGTGAGAGGTCTTGCGTTGTGGCAAGCCTTCCACTGTGGCAAGCCTTCACTTCAAGTCTGACTGCCACCAACGTACATTCGATGGCGAAGGCGTTGTCCTTGGAGGCGGTGATGTTCTCCTTGATGCGACAGTTCTCCAGGACGTACTCCTCCAGCGGGTTCTCGTCCTACGTGAAATATAAGTATATATAAGCAAATATAAAGTAATAAAAAACAAATCAATCATAAAATCAAAGAAATTCGTCCATATATCTGGGGGTGCTTACGCTCTTGCGTCGGAATATGTAGAGGGAACCGTCCTTGAGGAGGAACCAGCACGAGCTCCACTGCTCGTTGCCCACCCGTCGCCACATCTCGCCCTCCTTCTCTGGCGACAGGAACTTGGGGTCTGCCACACGATGACATACACGACACACGACACGACACACACGACACGACACACGACACACGACACACGGGTGTGAGACAAAGCACTACAAGCGGAGGCGTGTTGTGCAGAGCACACCGATTTCTTTGACGCCCGGCGGGAGGTCAAAGTTCTTGTCCTCGTCGGCCACATGTCGCAGCTGCTGCTTGGCCGCCGCCACCTCGCTCAGCGCCGCCCCGAACGACGCCGCCCCACTCTCCACCACCACCACGGCCGGTACTCCACCACTGGCGCCCGCCTGCGCTCGAGAGGTAAGTCGCGGGTCAGCTGGGCTGGCCCAAGCCAGACACTACGGGGCGTGAGGGGTGTGCTTGCTACCCTGGAGAGTGGCACGGGGCTGCCGGGCAGCCGCGTGGGGGCGAGGGAGCGGGCAAGCGGGTTCATGGAGGGACCAGCGGTGGTGGTGGTGGTGGTGGCGGGCAGGACCCGCGATTGCGCGGAGGTGACCCGCCTCGGCGGTGCCGCCATCTCTCTATGTGTAGCGGGCGGTAAAATCAACAACCTTCTACACGAGGCTTGGTGGATGGGGGGGGGGGAATGGAACACAACACGACGCAGGGCGCACGACACGCACACATGACCATCAAAAGTAAAGACACGGCGTCGGCCAAGGAGAAGAAACGGTTGTGGGGGGGGGTGTACCGGGATGAGGCGGGTGTGTAGAAGGAATGAGTAGGGAAAGAGTAGCGGAGCGGAAGAGAAGGGAGAAGGGGGGCTGCGCAGGCTGCTTAGGTTCTTCTCGCGTCGTCGTCAGGGGCGAGGGAAAGTGGTGCGAGCGAGCGATCTTTCTCGTGTGTTTGCGTTCAGTGTCCTGCCCACCTTAGGGAAGAGGCACACATCGCCTCTTTCCTTTTACCATCGTAAACATGTAAGAAATTGATGAAATAGGAAGAATACGCTACCGCCCTGCACTGCATGTAGCTGCTCACCTAAACCGCACGTGCGTCAGCGAGTGTGCCATGTGTGTCGTGTTGTGTGTCGTGCCGTGTCGTGTGCCGTGTGTCGTGTGACACGTAGATGATGTTCTCGAAAAGAAAAGATTAACAAAGAGTTTGGGCTGAGGTACATTCGCCTGAACGTGGTATGTCAGGTGACGCCGCGCCAATCGATGGTAACGTAGGTAACCTGGGGATAAGACGTCTGCGTCTGCGTCTGCTGCTCGCCGTCGCCGACGTTCTGGGTCTCCTGGTGGTGCCGCACCGAAGCGAAGACGGTCGCCTTCTTCACACCCACCGCGAGCCGGCCCACGGCGACCATGTCCAGGGGCGCCAGCGGCTCCTCCCACCCGACCACGATCACGATATAGGCCGCGTGATACATGAGCGGGTCACCTGTACGTGCCCCGTACCACACACACCCCCACACCGCCACCACACACACACCACACACACCACCGCACACACACCAAAAACGCGCACGACATACGACACACGACACACGTCAGCATGCCAGCGTATGAAACGCGGAGAGGTGTAGGCGAGGGCGGATGAGGGGACGACCAGGGTAGACGAGGAAGTCGCCGCCGAACTTGCCGCCCGATGTGATGTAGCAGTTGGGGCGGAGCCACAGGTCCTCGAAGACGGCCTGCCGCCGCGCGGCCTGCGGGGCGTCGCGCGGGAACATGCACCGCTGCCACTCGTCCCACCCGATCGCGCGCTCCTCTCGTCTCCACGGCTTGCCGCCCACCTCGCCCGCACGTAGCGCCATTCCGCCACCGCCGCCACTCCCCGCCGACGCCAATTCTGGTGGTGGTGGCGGCGCTGCTGACATCAACGTCTCTGGCGCTTCGAGCTTCGATTCATTGCCAGCTGCTCGGGCGTCATCGTTGTCTCCAGCACTGACGCTCGCGGCCTCGTCGACTGTGCTGCCAGCACTGTCGTCTTCGTCGACCTTGCGCTTCTTCTTCTTCTTGTCCTTCTTGTTCTGGCTGCTGCTGCTGTTGCTGCTGTTGCTGCTGTCGTTGGTGCGTTGCTCCCAATAGCGGATCTCCTTGGCCCGATGCTCGGCTCGCTCCTTCTCCCGCTGGGCCTGGGCCTCGCGCCTGCTCAGCTCGTGCGCGGCCTTGTCCGCCGTCTGCGGCTCGGCGTAGGGCACCGAGTCATCGAGCAGCCTGATCCACCCGCGCTTCAGCGCCACGCTCACCTTTGTGGGCCGTTGTCGGCGTTGTCGGTGTTGGTGGTGTTGGTGTTGTTGGTGGAGGTGAGCCGTGTAGCGCGTTGGCGAGCGGGAGAGCAGCAAAACGTAGTACCTCCTCGGGCATGAGCAAGAGGGGCAGAGCGTGGAAGAGATTCTGTTGCTTGTGCTGCGGGAACGAGCCCAAGAGGCAGCCCACCAGGCGATGCTGCCGACGCAACCTCTCGGCCCCTGACAGTTGAATCATTTAATCAACAGATAATATAAAAAATAATGAAATAACAAACAAAATAATCATAAGCACCTGGAGCGTCCCACACGAGGCAGCGTCCTTCGCCTACGTGGTAGACATCCACCGGAGCGGCAGCATCTGCGTGCTCGCTCTCCATTTGTGAAATAAATAGAAAAAAATAAAAAAAGAAAAAGAAAAGCAAAATCCAACCGGCAACGAATGAGCTACTTGCTGCAGACGCTCAGAACGAAGAGGGAGGTGGACGAGGCCATACGCAACACGGATGACCTTCTGCTCGTTCTACGATTCGGCCGTGAAGACGATGCCACGTGCCTGCAGCTCGATGAAATCGTACGCTTGAGTGATTGATGACTAACTCGAGATGAACTAACAAACGAACCCCCATCTTTAGTTGTCCAAAACGGAGCGACATTTGTCCAAGATGGCAGTGATCCGACTTGTGGACGTGGACGCAGTCCCCGAGTACGTCCAATACTTTGACATCACCCTCATCCCCGCCACTGTCTTCTTCTTCAACGCCCAACACATGAAGTGCGACTATGGGTAACGCGCCTTCTCCCTCCTGCTCCCGGGTGTGTTACCCTCTGCCCACTCATCTCTGTGCTGTGCTGTGTTATTCGCGTGTGTGTGTGTGTGTGTGTGTCGTGTTATTTGTGCGGTGTGTGTGTTGTGTGTCGTGTTGTGTGCGTGTCGTGTCGTGTCGTGTCCTACGTAGTACGCCAGATCACACCAAGTGGATCGGGGCGTTCCACTCCAAGCAGGACTTCATCGACCTGGTGGAAGTGCTCTACCGCACGGCCCTCCACGGCAAGTTCATCGCCGCCCGATGTCCCATCGACCCCAAGCACATCCCCAAGTACACCCTCATCTACAACGACATCTGACGCCAAGTCAGCCAACATAGTTGGCCCTACATGATGTTGACATATCTATATAAAAATATGTACAAATGTTACAAGTGTCGCTACACAGTGGTGATGTTGACATGTTGGATGGTGATGGTCGTCGTGGCGACTGGTCTAGTAGGTGTCTTCATCGTAGATGGCGGCCTTGAGGTTGCGCTTGCGGGCCTGCCTGACGCCCTTGGCCTTGCAGCTGGACTTGGACACCGGGTGAAGCGAGCACATGCCGCACCGACCGGAACATCCGCCCCTGTGCTTGCTCTTGTCGCCTTGCCTGCGCATCTTGCTTCTGTCGGTCCTTGTGCTGGTGGTTCTGGTGGCTTGGTGCTTTGCTGAGCGTCCCACTTGTGGCCTTTTGTTGGTCGCGTTGGTGGCCCGACACTCCCTCGATTTGGCTTCACTTTTTATTCTGCGTAAATTCTGGGACAACAGATTTCGGTGAATGCTGACGTCATGCCTTGTCGGCAGGCCGCAAATATTTCGCATAACTGCATTGTTGTCATTTCTTTCCCTGTATTTGGGGCACAACGTTTGTTGCGCGAGGCGGAAGAGGGCAGTGTGTCGCAGGGACATGGCCCACATGCCGCACAACGCGCCTGCGGCCGCCACCACCACGAATGTGGTGAGGGAGACGGACAAGAAGTGGCTGCGCGGCATGCTGGGGGGCACCTCCAACGCCTTCGCCATCATTCGTACCTCCTTCTCCTCACCTTCTTCTTCTTCTTCTGGTTGTCCTGCTTCTCTGACTCAAGAAGCTGGCCTGCCCTCCCACTGGCTGGGGTGTTGGGGTGTACGACGCTGACCGACGACCGACTTGCCAGTGGTGAGCCCGCTGGACGTGCTCAAGATACGGTTCCAGACACAGAACGCCCTCACCAAGGCCGGCGCGCCCAAGACCTACGACGGTAGCGCGCCCACCCCGGCACAGTGTGCACTTTTTCATCATCATCGTCATCATCATCATCATCTTCTTCTTCTTCTTGTTCTTCTCGTGTTCTTGGGAGGCTGCAGCAAACTGATACTCTCGTATTTGGGTTGTTCACACCACAGGCCTTTTGAAGGGAGCGGTGACCATCGTCAGCAACGAGGGCGTGCGCGGTCTCTTCAAAGGGTACCATGGTGAACCAAACTTGCTTCATTTTTGCACTCTCACTCTCACTCTCACTCACACTTTATCACTCTCACGCACACCTGGCAGGCTCTCGGTGTCGATGCTGCGCGAGCTGACCTTCTCCTCCGCTCGCATGGGCCTCTACGGTAAATGCTCTCATTTTTTATTTGTTAATTTGTTTTTTATCTGTTTTGTTAATATTATCTCAACGACGATCAGAGCCCATCCGCAACTACCTCGTCGGTCCTGGCCAAAAGGGTACCCGTCACTCGTGTCGTGTGTCGTGTCGTGTGTGCCGTGTGTGTCGTGTGTGTCGTGTCGTGTGTGTCGTGTGTGTGTTGTGTGCCGGCAGCGTAGTGGCCTCGATTCTGAGGGGGTCCTGCGTCCATAGAGATCGCGCTGGGCCAGAAGATTTTGGCCGGACTGATGAGCGGCGCCATCGCCGCCGCCATGTTCAACCCGACCGACGTGCTCAAGGTGCGCCCAGCCCGACCCCTTATTGCCACACACGGTGCTTTGGACTGATTCTATCAAGAGCGCCGTGTGTGTGTCGTGTGTGTCGTGTGCGTGTCGTGTGTGCGTGTGTGCGTGCGTGTGTGCCAACAGGTGCGGTTCCAAGCAGACCCAGCACGCACGCCAGAGCTGCGGCGGTACAAGAGCGTAGTGGGCGCTGTCGTGGAGATTGTACGGAGGGCCTCATCGCCGGCCTCTACAAGGCACACCGCTCCTGCTGCGCCCCTGTCGTCGTGGGCTTTGCTGACTTCACTCTGGCCTCTGTCGCGATCACAACCGGCCCGGCTTCGGTCGTGCAGGGCGTAGGCACGACCGTGATCCGCGCGTCGCTGCTGACGAGCGCGCAGATGGCGTCGTACGACGAAAGCAAACACTTCCTGATCGACTCTCTGGCCTTCAGCGACAACTTCCTCACCCACTTCTGGTTCGAACCGCCGCCTCATTGTCCACCTCACTCCTCCATCATTGCTCAGCTGACTCGCCCATCCACCAACGCAGTGCTAGGTGCGATGTGCATGTCGTGTGCGTCGTGCGTGTCGTGCGTGTCGTGTGCGACGACGAGCGCGTGTCGTGTGTCGTGTGTGCCATGGCTGACTTGCAAGTGCGTCGGCGGATCCAAGCATGTTTTCGGGGTTCATGACGTCACTGGTGACCAACCCGGTGGACGTGGTGCGCACGCGCATCATGACCGAATACGCCTCGCCCGGCCAGCCCCGCACCTACTCCAACCCCTTCACCTCACTCGTTCGGGTACCTCCCCACTCTTTGTCGCGTGTCGTGTCGTGTTGTGTGTCGTGCGTCGGCCGCTGCTGGTGACGGTGGGGGCGCAGATATTCAGGGCCGAGGGGGTGCTGGGCTTGTACAAGGGGTTCGTGCCGAGCTACCTGCGCCTGGGGTCGGCCAGTGTGGTGGTCTTCATGCTCTATGAGCAGTTGCGCCGCTTGGCCGGCATCCCCACCCTGTGAACGCAAGGCCTTGCACAAGAACCTCACCACGGCTGTTGTAGGCTCATCACAGCTTTTTTATATATATTTATATATATTGTTGTAAGTTTACCCTATATGGCACCTGGACTCTGTTGAGTCTCCTGGACAGTGGAAGAACACTTGCAGACATGCATTTCCAGCCACATTATGGGAGGCCATCACCACTGAGAAGTCAATGTCCTGGTACTGGGGGTCTTGATGAAAGACTGCGGAGAGACAGTCAGCATTTGTGTGTGGTTGCCAGCCAAGGGGAGGGCAAACATATGTACATGTGCCTTGGCCAAGTGATGGGAGTGTTGCATCAGCCACAAAGAGTGAATCAGCCAGCTGGAGGCTGGGCAGGGCTTGATCAAGGGACACTGCATAAATTGTGTAGCCTGGCCATGGTGCAGCAGGTTATCACAACAATACCAGTTAGCCATTCTTTGCTTTCTGGTCTTGAGGGGAAGACTCACGCACCAAGCCGGCCATTGCTTTGGTGTGTTGATGTGATCATCATGGCTTCCTTGTTGACTTGAAGCTGAACCCATGTGCACCCCACCTTGACTGCATATTGCATGGTCATGTTATTGTTGTTAGTGCAGCCACTCAATGGCTCATAGTTGGCAGTGCTGTGGCATGTTCGTGTGAGGGCGTACATACCTGTGGCCACGAAGTGAAGTTGAGGGAGCCCTGGCGAAAGTGGTGCGGAGGCGAAAGGTTGTATCCGTACAAGAGCCCTTGTGTGTCGTTGTTTCGGTTGGCCACCACCTCCGTCCAATACAATTCCATGGTGTTGCCATTGGTAAACAGAGTGTCCGACGCGCCTTGGAGGTACGTCACGTGGTCAAACGTGAGCTGTGACTCCTGTTTGTTGTTGGGCCAAAAACAAAGCTCACGCTCACGTGTCAGATCGCATTGACACAGTGATCGCATTGACGCGTCGTTGGTTGCAACAATGACTCACCTGGGTGTCGACACGGTAGTAGAGAAACTCAGAAGAAGGCTGGCGGGTCTGGTTGCTGCCTCGGATGATGAAGAGCTGATCAGCTCCAGTTCCCGTCTTGTTGCGCCGGTAGACGGCGCCCACAACCGACGTCACCGGTATCTCGCCGGCTGGAAGCTGGCGCCGAAAACGTTGAAGCAGGCGAGTGAGTGCGTGTGCGTGTGCGTGTGCGGTGGTGTGTGCGTGTGCGTGTCGTACCTTGATGATGCGCAGGGGCTGGATGGTTTCGGCCGAGACAACGGCGACGTGGGTGAGCGAAACGAGGTAGAGGAGCCTGACGTTGGACATGCTGGTGCTGTCGTCCGGCGCGATCTTCTGCCACAGCGGGAGGCCGGCGTCGAAGCAGTAGGTCGTGGTCAGCCGGTACTTGGGCGGTGCCGGCGGCCGCACGCTGGTGACGTAGTACTCGAGCAGACAGTTCCTCGCATCGAGCAGCACCACCCGGAGCACCTGTTGGTCGGGCGCGTTGTCGTAGTACGTCAGCACCAGCCCGTTCACCGGCCGCACTTCGCTCGGCAGCTGCCACTGCTGCGTTTCGAGCCACTCTGATCTGTGAATCACCGAACAACACGCGTGAGTGCGGTGGTGTGTGCGGTGGTGTGTGTGCGGTGGGGCGTGTGCGGTGGCGTGTGCGGAGGTACGTACGTGGCGTCGATACCGTAGATGAATTCTTGGGTGAGCCAGTACTGGAAGACGTTGCTGACGTAGAAGCCAGGGCCGCGGGACACGGAGAGCCAAGGCGAGGTGTCCGGTTGGTGGAAGTTGGCGCTTTGGCAATCGAAGGGGCTGATGATGGTCCCTCCGGACGAGACGCCCACATTCGCCCAACAGAGCACTGCGAGCAGGAGCAGCGACACAACGCCCCTCATGACCTGGAAGAGATGAGTGACAACTGGTACAACGCTCCGCCCCGACAGTTGAACCTAATTAATTAATTTCTCTCTTTTTCTTCCCTATTCTTTTTGTCACACGACCACATCACGTGACGTCAGCGAAAGAAGCGCCGAAGGAATCGCGGCCAGCGGCTGTCGGCGGCGCCGCGTTGCGTTCGGCTTGGCCGCCGCCGCCGCCGCCCTTGTTCTTCTTCTGCAGCTCGGCCTCGTCTTCGGCCTCGGCTTCTTCTTCTGGGTCGCGCTTGCGCTTGCGCTCGAGCGCGTCGGGGCCGGGCCACCAGGTGAGCGACCGGAGGCACGCACGCAGGAACTGCTCGCGCGACTTGCCCAGCGTGCCCTGCGGGTCGAGCGCGAACGCCACCACGCGCTTGCGCTCATCGGCATCGAGCACGTCGTGCGCGTCGACGCCGGCCACGATGGCCTCGAGCAGCTCGCCGGGCAGCTCGGCCAGCGGCGAGTCGTCGCCGAACTGCGTGATCGGCGGCGGCTGCAGCAGGAGCCGCGCCACCACCAGCATCCGCACCGCCGTCGTGCCCACCTCCCGCCGGAACCGCCGCGCCTGCGCCGACATGTCGGCCACCGCCGCCTCGAGCGCCTGCACACGCCGCCGCCGCTCCGCCTCAGTCTCGCGCTGTCGTGCGCCGCCGGCTTCATCGTCGTCGTTGTGGTCGTTGTGTCGTCGTTGTTGTCGTGGGCCAGGTGGTCGAGGTCGATCTGGAGAGTGAGCAGGCTGCGGTTGTGGGCGCGGACCTGCGCCAGGAAGGACTCGAAGCCGGCCAGGGTGAAGTGGTTGCCGCACAGGTCGAGCCACGACAGGTGCCGGTTGCGGGCCAGCAGCGCGGCGAGGCACGACAGATCGGCGTCGGTCAGGCCCTGGCGGGCCAGGTCGAGCCGCTCGACCGTGTCGTTGTCGGCCAGGGCGTCGCACAGCAGCACGACCGCCGCCGGCGCGAGCTCGCGGTCGTCGTCGCTGCTGTCGGCCGGCTGGGCCAGATCGATCTCGTCGAGCCGGCCAAACACCCAGCGGCAGAAGGCCGGGCTGCCCGTGTGCAGCGCGGCCTCGACGTACTCGCGACCACGGTCGTCGCGCAGGTCGAACCCGCGGGCCAGCAGCAGCTCGACGGTCTCGATGGAGCCCGACGAGCAGGCCTGGACCAGCGCCGGCGCGACCTGCGGGCCGTCGGGCGACAGGGAGGGGATGTCGAGCCGGGCGCCGTGGTCGAGCAGGGCGGCGGCGGCCCTGGCGCGGCCGCGGGAGATGGCGAAGTGGACGGCCGTGGAGCCCATGACCTCTTGGTCGACGTCGACCTTCTTGACGCTCAGCAGCCACTCGACCACCTCCACGTTGCCCGACGTCGCAGCGTAGACCAGCGGTGTGATGCCCTGATTTAGGAAAATACCGTTTAACATGTAAGCCACCACCGACACACGACACACGACACACGACACTCACCCTATTGTCGGTTTCGTCGAGTGAGGCGCCCTGTGAGAGGAGGAATTCGAGGCATTCGACGCTGCCCTCGCGGCACGCGTAGAGGAGCACCGAGCCGCCGCCCTCGTCGCGCTCGGCGACCGACGCGTGGCCGTTGGACAGGAGGTAGCGGATGGTGGACAGCTTGCCCGCCAGGCCGGCCGCCAGGAGCGGCGTGCAGCGGGTGGAGTTGGCGATGCGCGTGTCGGCCCCGTTGGCGATGAGGAGCTCGACCAGCTCGAGATCGCCCTCGGAGCAGGCGAACAGGAGCGCCGCGGTGCCGTTCCGGTCGCGGTCGTTGGGGTCGGCGCCGTGCTCGAGCAGGAATCGCGCACAGTTCGTCGCTGCGGAGCTGCACGCAAGCACCAGCGCCGAGTTGCCTCTCCTGTCTGTCATCGTTCATGAATAATCGACAATTAGCCAATATAAATAATGACAACATAAATAATAACAATTCTAATTAAGTAATTTTAATAATTATAAAAATAATGTGGTACGTACCGACTTCGTTCAGGGTGGCGTGGCCGTTGAAGAGCAGGTACTGGCAGACCTCCTCGCGGCCGCAGGCGGCGGCGATGAGGAACGGTGTGCGGCCGTCGATGCGCGCGTGGTTGGCCTTGGCGCCGTGCTCGATCAGAATGCGCAGATTCTCCACCGGCCCGCTGGCGGCCGCCAGACAGATCGGGGTCTGCTGGTCCCGGTTGACCGCGTTGACGTCGAGACCCTTCCCGATCAGCCACCTCACCATCTTATCCCGACCACCAAGAGTCAGTCAGCCGACACTGTCTCACCATGCATCGTGTGCGGTGGTGTGTGCGGTGGTGTGTGCGGTGGTGTGTGTGCGGTTGTGCGGTGTACCTCAGGGCTTTTACCGCTCGCGGCGTACATGAGTGCGTTGTTATCGTTGTTGTCCTTGTCGTCCAGCGAAGCTCCGTGCGCGAGAAGAAGCTCGGCACACTCGACCGACGAAGTGCGGGCCGTGGTCAGCATGGCCGTGTCGCCCTCATGGTTGTGCTCCGTGGCCTCGGAAATGCCTGAACCAATCGGACAATCAAAATCGTGTGTCATGTGTGTGTCGTGTGTCGTGTGTGTCGTGTGTGTGTCTGTGCGTGTGTCGTGTGTGCGGTGCGTGCGATACCTGTGGTGAGCAGATATTTGACGAGCGGCGCGTAGCCGTTGATGAGTGATGCCAGGAGGACCGTGCTGCCCTCCGCGTCGCGCGCTGAAGTGTTGGCACCACGCGACACCAGCAGCTTCATGCACTCCAGCGCTCCGTTCTTGGCGGCGAAGGTGAGGGCCGTGTCCTGCAGCCTGTCCCGCGCCTCGATGTCGACACCCTACGCCACTCGCGCTCGCGTGAGCTTTCTGTCTAAAGGACTACCAAACTGTCGACAACACAATAAATAAATAAATGCACGGCCCGCCGTACGTGGTCCATCAAGATAGAGGCGACCGGGGCGCAGTCGTGGTCGATCGCGTGGTACAGCGCAGAGACCGCATCACCGTCCCTGCAAAGGAGCGCACAGACAAAGTGTCAGACAGTTAACTTTTCTTTTTCTTTTTCTTCTTCTTTCCATTCAGGCCGCCAGTTAAAGGTGGTGCGTACACTTCTGTCGGTTGGGCGCCGGCTTCGAGAAGGAACTGCACGACTTCGGGGTGCGACTGATCGCAGGCGTGAATGAGCGGCGACCGCCCGAACTTGTCGCGGATCTTGAGCTGGCCAATCGACCACCACACCGACGACTCCCTGAATAGATCAGATGACAGCCACACGTTGGTTAGATGAGACCATGCGTGCGTGTGCGGTGTGTCATGAGTGTCGTGTGTCGTGTGTCGTGTGTCGTGTGTCGTGTGTCGTGTGTCGTGTGTCGTGTGTCGTGTGTCGTGTGTCGTGTGTCGTGTGTCGTGTGTCGTGTGTCGTGTGTCGTGTGTCGTGTGTCGTGTACTTTTGGCTGTTGAGCTTCTCCTCCTGCGCAAGTAGAAATCGTAGAGTGCCCACGTTGCCAGCGTAACGGCACGCGTAGTGGAACGGATTGCGACCTTCGGCGTCCTTGGTCAACAGCAAGTCCACCAAGGCCTCTGCGAGTGCTTCTCAGTGGGTTGTCCAAATGAATTACAAAAATAATAATAAAAAATACAATAATGAATAAAATAAAATAATAATTAAATAAATAAAAAGAAAAATGAAAAGGAAGGGTACCGGGAGCAGTGTGGGCAAAGAGGTACTCGAGCACTTCGTTGTGTCCGCAAGCGGCGGCGTAATGCACCGGCGAGGCGACGGGGAGGAGAACGCTGCTGAAGGGGACGTGCTCCCGTACGCGCTCCCATGACGCCGCCGCCTCGGCAACGCTCACCCAGTTGCCCATCGGATGACTTGAACGTTACAAACATCACAATGACAGTTTAGTGGTTCGCACAACTGACACGACGCACACGCACACGCACCGCCGCACACGCACCACCGCACACGCAGGAATGGGTGCGTACACAAAGGGCCGATAGCCAAAATTGAGCGTCACTGCTTCGGCGCGCACGAGACTGACGCCGGGGTACAGGATGTCGTCTTCGCTCTCGATCGGCAGCTGCGCGGTTGATTCGATCCCGAGGTCCTTGCCGTTGATTCGGGCGCCCATCTGCACGCTGGCAAACTTCCGCTCCTTGTTGCCCTCCTGGTCGTCCTGGGCCTGTGTGCGTGCGAGAAAAACAAAACAAAAAAGTATGAGCGCTGCTGCACTGAACAAACATGTAAATGCAGTGAGGGCGCCGGGGGAAGGAATGATTATACCGTGATCACTTCAATTATGGTGGCATAGGCGGTGACCACGTCGTTCTTTTTGAAGGGGGCAGAGTGGTGTCAGTCAGGGTGGTGTCCGCTTGCTCAGCATATCAACACGCACACGCACACGCACACGCACCGTTTGCCAGAGCGGGGTGTGATGGAAAAAGATTGAGCCGCCGGCGTGCCAGATCCGCTTGCGGAAGCCGTCCCACGCCCAACTATTCCTGTTGGTGGTGGGCAATAATAAACAACAAATAATAGTGGACGGTGAGTAGCGTTAGCCTTGAAGTCACACGTCTTCTTCTCTTCTTTTTCTTTGATGATGATGGTGATGATGATGATGATGATGATGTACCTGTCGTCTCCGATGCCGTCGGTGGCGGACATGCGGCAGCGCTTGGTGCCCCACCCGACTTGGATGATACCACCGGAGTCGACACGGGCCTCGTAGAAGAAGGTCTTGCCCACGTCGCCCAGGCGAATGCCGACGGTCGAGCGCACGCTGCCCCAACCCATATTGCTGACCACCTGTGTGCCGCACGCGTTTGTGTGTGCGCGTGCGCGTGCGACGAAAAGTTAGATTATGGGCTTCAACACACCGCACGCACGCACGCACGCACGCACGCACGCACAACGCCACACGAAACAGAAGGTGCGTGCGGTTACCTGCGTTCGATCGGCCGAGAGGGTGAGATTCTCCGCGGGTGTCATGTCCTTCGGGTTGAGCTCTGCCACCAGCAGCTGGTCGTCACCATGGCTTTGCAGGTCCGCAGACTCGTTCTTCGGGGCCTGTTATAGACACGACCATCACCATCATCATCACCATCATCACCATTATCATCGCCAGCAAGCAAGCAAGCAAACATGATGGGTTCATAGCCACAAGGTGGTGTGGTGGCGTACGAGGTTGCGAAGGAAAGTAGCGGGAGCGGCCCGGTGGAGAGCCTCCACGCAGGTGCGGTGGCCGCCCAGCACGGCGTAGTGGAGTGCCGTAAGCCCGTACCTGTCCTTGGCTGGGTGTGCCGGCACAACAACCCATAACACGTGCGGTGTTGTTTTTGTTGGGCATAATTCAGTCTAATGATTAAAATGATTCAATTGAAAATGCGAATCGATTGAATAGAAAATGCACGAACCATCAAGGTCGTGGGCTGCACTGACGTGAGCAAGGTGCTCGGCAGCACCCAGAATGCAGGCCACATGCACAGGAGTCCGCCCAAACAAGTCCATCTTCTAGTGCCGACGTGCGTGCCCTTATTATTCTTAGAAAAATTGAGATAAAATCTAAACTGAAGTGAAATGCATTGTTATTTGTTTGTTGTGGGTTGACATAAAAAAGGCATGTTCATGGAGAAGAGAAACGACGACGACGACGATTACTGCTTGAGGTGCTGGGCCTTGTACTGGATGAATCGGTCCAGGTTGAGCTTTGTCTCCCGCAGCCGCTCCAGCAAATCCCGATCCAGTGCCCGACTCTCCTGCCGAATCTACGCATGCTCGTCATCGTCAGATGTGTGCGTGCGGCTGGCGTGTGCGGCGTGTGCGGTGTGTGTGGCGTGTGCGGTGTGTGCGGCGTGTACGAATAGGTGGGAAGGTGCGCAAGTGGTACCTTATTGCGGAGGAGAGGGGAGAAGGATCGGAGCTTGGGGAGGAGGGCGAGCTGGGCGAAGATGTGGTCCTTGTCCTCCTCGGAGAACATGTCGAACAGACTGTTCAGCCCCTCGGCCACCACTGCGCCGTGCACCGTCGACCACGACTCACCGGGCGTCGTCGCCGCCGTCTGCTCCGCCATCAGCGACGTGCCCACGCTGTGCACCAACACCGCCGCCACTTTCTGTAGAGACAGAGACGTTCATCGGTTATTGGTGGGTTGCGTTTGATTGGAGTAAGCCGGCGGGGCCAATGAATGAAAAGCTGGGGATTGATTGATTGATTGATTGGGGTGTGGTGGAGATGTACGGGGGCGAGGTCGACGAGCTGCGGGTGCTGGCCCATGATGCCCAGGCAGCCGAGGGCGTTGGCCCGCGCGACGAACGACGGACAGCCGGCCGCCAGCTGCACCATTCCCTCCACCACATTTGTGTGCGGCGACTGACACACGACACGACACGACGACACGACACGACACCGTTCAAGAGCGGGCAAGTGTCAGTCGTGGACCGCAATTGCTGGAGGTGGGTTCTTAGGGTGTGGTGGTACCAGGGGGAAGCCGTGCTGGGTGGACTTTCGGAGGAGGGTCCACATGGAGGCGGTGACGAGCTCGAGGTGTCTCCATGTTGGCGTCGGTGCCCAGCGGCGGCGGCAGCGGCTGCCCGGCCTCCACGCACAGCTTCACCAACAGCTCCCACAGCCCCTCCGCCTGTTGCTTGTCTGCACACCACACGCACACACGCACACATGAGACACAACACACAGCATGACACACGACACATACGACACACACACGACACGACACGACACGACACAACACACACACACAGAGCAGGGTGGTACCGGCGGGGAGCGGGAGGACGAGGAGCATGTTGTTGAGGCAGGAGAGGGCGCGGGCCTGGACGTCGTGGAAGTGGGTGACGCACTTCTGCATGAAGCCGAAGGTCTGGCCCAGGGCGGTGACGCGAGTCCGGTCCCACTGGACCTTCTCGACCACCTTGGCCAGGATGGCCGGCAGCGGCAGCGCGGCCAGGACCTCGGGCGCGATGGCCGTGGCCTCGTCCATGTTGACCGACCCGGCCGGCAGCTGCGACTCATCGACCGTCTCCTCCTCATCGTCCGCCAGCGGCACCTCCTCCTTCTCCGCCGCCTCAGCTGATGATTGATCACGCCTTGCCAGTCAACATCGTGTGTCGTGCGCGTGTCGTGCGTGTCGTCGTGTCGTGTCGTACCTTCGATGGACGAGCATATGTTGGTGAGAATTTCAAAGCCGGCCTGCTGGGCGCCCATATTGGTGCGCCACTTCTCCAGAGCCTCCTCGGCCGTGTTCACCGTCGACCCTGCTCATCACCCACCACCCAGCACATCGAGCGCGTCAGTTGCCATGCAACGCAACACCCTAAAAACGATCTCGCCACGTGGCTACTTGCGCTGCTGACGTGTACCCATGATCTTCTCCTGTTGCTGGGCCTGCTGGAGGTATTGGCTCAGCTCGACCAACCCGGCGAGGCCGTCGAATTTCCAGCACAGGTCGAGCACGGACATGAGCGCGCGGATGATGTCCGGGTGGCGGCCGCCGCCCATGTTGACCACGCTCCCGGCCAGCAGCGAGGCGAAGCGGACGTCGGGGTCGGGCCGCGTGAGGTAGGCCAGCAGCAGCTTGACCAACGACTCCCGGTCGCCCGCGCTCAGCCACTGGTTGAGCAGCCGATCGTTGTCGCAGTCGGTCAGCACCTGCAGCAGACCGGCTGCAAGCACCAACACGCACACGCACGACACACACGACACAACACGCACGACACGACACGACACGACACGACACGACACGACACACACGACACGACACGACACGACACGACACGACACGACACGACACACGATCAGGGCGACCACCTCGTTATGGCCGGCGGAGGAGGAAAAGCGAAGTGGGTACCGGAGGCGAGGAGGATGGCGGGAGGGACGGCCTGTGGGTTCTGGAGGAAGGAGATGATGAGCGAGAGGGCGCCGGCCTGGAGGATCATGGTGGTGGCCGCCTCGCTGCTCTCGCTCAGGTTGGAGAGGAGCGAGATGGTCTGCGCGAGCAGCGAACACAGCTGCTGGACCTCCTCCTCCGACTTGGCCGAGCTGGCGTCGTTCACGAGCCGGAGGTTCTACAAACCGCACACGCACACACACGACACACACGACACACGCACGACACACACACATGAGTGAGCGATGGCCGTGTGCGGTGGTGCGTGTGTGTGTGCGGTGTGGTACCTGCTGGAGCACGCCGAGGAGGGTGGCGGTGCAGTGGTGGTGGAGAAGAGGGAACGCGGCGACGGGCGCCACGGTGGAGAGGTTGTTGAGGGCGCCGGTGGCGGCGATCCGCACGGCGAGGCTCGGGTCGGCGAGGCAGCTGACCAGGGTCTTGAGCGAGCCCTCCTCCAGGGAGAGCCGCACGGCCTCGTCCTCCTCGAGCACCAGATTGGCGAGGCCGTTGCAGGCCACCTCGCGATCCGCCTCCTCCGCGCTCTTCAACTGATGGAAGTAGAGAAATAATTCTGAGATTAAAATCGAAATCTAATAAATTGAATAAAATCTGGAAAATGAAAATAATAAATGCAGCGACAGGATGACGGCCATGTGCAGAAGGGGGGGGGGTTATGGGCACTACCTTCTGGAAAATGGGAATGTTCGGCTGCACGTCCGCTCCCGTTTCAATCACATCGGAATCTCCATCTTCGATTATGGCTTGCTGCGCTTCGGCAAGTGTGGGCAGGCCCGTAGGACGGACTCTGTTCTGCTTGTTGATTCTGCCCTTCCTCTCCTTCGGCATCTTGTTCTACTCTCCTTGCGATTCGGAAGCCGTGGATCTCAAGAGATGGAGATTTTTTTCGTGAATTGAAAAAGTAGCAGTTTGTTTTTTCGTTATTTGTTTTTCTGACTGTTTCTTTTCGCGCCTTTTCCGAGCACACCGGATCAAGATCCCCCATCGCCGCTACTTGCAGAAATTCAATTGTCAGCGAGGCGGGATGCTGTACTGGAAGGAGGTAATTTTGATGTCAAGCGTGCCTGCGGGGCGAATGGATTAGGAGCTGATTTTCTCCATTGCCCATTTTAAATGTATTTCGCAGGTCCCGCTGCAACTGGCAGAGGGGGCCGTGGTATGGCGTGACATCGCCCTAGCGGTGGATCTCTCCAAGGATACGTTTGCCGCTACCACTCCCATTCCTACCGCGCACGAGCGGCTCGGAGGCGGATTCGGCTTTCAGGCCCAGCACGGTGCCGCTGGCCGCAATCGATTTGTCGTGTGGTACGGCGTCAATTCCAATCAGTAGCAGCCGTGTAGTGCAGATTTTTTTGACATGCATGTATGTCCAAGGCGGGCAAGCGGCAGTGTGCTGGAGCTGCTCGAGATCTCGCTCGACTGCGAGCTCACCAACAATGCCCTCCGCATCCAGCTGCCACGAGCCGTGGTGGGCGACGTCGTCTTTGTGGAGAAGGAGGTGGACGAGGGCGTGCGCGAGCTTCACGTGCTGGTGGTGACCACGCGCACCTTCCATCGCTTCGTCTTCCCGCATCCGCTCTCCGCTCCCGCTCCCGATGCCGCGTTCGCCTCGACCGCAGGGCCGGGCGCCGCGCTGCCCTCGGTCCTCGCCAAGGTCACTGCCGTCGACCTGCTTCAGGGAACCTGCAGTCTGGTGAGTGCCTTCGCTCTTTTTCTTTCGCTCTTCGCTCTTTTACCAAGCGACACTCGGCCGTGGCTGACGTCCAGCTGTGCGACTACTTCTTCTTCTTCTTCTTCTTCTTCAGGACAACGTGCTCAGGAACGGTGCGCTGCCCAAGGCGGTCGCGCCGGTGGACGAAGATCGCGTAGCGATCGGGTACAGCAACGGCAGCATCGCGGTGGTGGAGACGTACGACGTGCGGGTGGTCCCCGGGGGTCCCGCGTTCGGCACCACCGCCTTCGAGCTCAAGGAGGAGCACCTGATGAAGAAGCTCTGGAGCGGCCTGATGCCCACTCTCGGAACCAAGTACGCGCGCGCACACACCTTCTCTGGCGCGCGTGCGTGCGCGGTGTTCACTAAATGTGATAACGTCGATCTATTGCTAGACCTGCGCCCGAGGAGATCGTGAGCCTGGCCACCCACTGCGTAACACCCACGCGACCCTACATATTCGCTCTCTGCGCGGACAACAAGATCCGAGGTACCACCTGGCGGCCAGTTTGGAGTGCGCTCTGGGCGGCCCGCTCACGTTAGTACGTCTCTCGCAGTGTGGGATGTTCAGAGCAGGGCGCTGCTGAACACCAAGGAGATCGACGCTGACAAGTGGAGCCACGAGGGAGATGATTCCAGTACGCGCACGCTCTTGGCAGCCTCACGCATACGTTACGACGATCACCGCAGCCACCACGACTAACACGGTGTCTTCGTTCTTTTTTGCAGTCCAGCGCAGGGGTCCCATCCGCGTGTACTCCTACGACGAGGACCCCATGCGCTGCAAGCTGGGGCTCTACTTTGAACTCCGCGAAGAATCACAAGTATCGCGCAACATCATCCACCACCGCCTTCGCGCCATGGCCCGTACTGACAACTCTTCTTCTTCTTCTTCTTCTTCGCTGCAGCTCCAACTGTACACGGTCTCCTTTGTCGAAGAGGAGAATGGCTACATCTTCCTCAAGGGTCTCGAGTTCGACAGCTTTCACTATTCCAAGCTGGTGCGTTTTCCACATAAGACTTCTTTTTAGAGCCTCAAACGTGGGAGTTGGCGCGAGAGACGGAACTGACGCTGCGTCGTGGAACACAGAAAAATCTGGTCGACTTCAGGTTTTCGTTTGCGTGCCTGTGGGCCATGTGGGCGGACCCCAACGAAGGCCTGGCCCTCAAATATGTCACCTTCGAGACGTAAGTCATTCACAACACACAACACACAACACACAACACGACACGACACACACCACACACACACGACACACGGAAGATCTAAGCTACTCACACGACCGATATCGTGCATTACAGCTCCGCGCAAATGGAACCGTTCATGGTGGAGGACAACTGCTGGACGTCGGTTCTGCTGCATGCGCCCGACGACAGCAAGGAGTACCCGTCCCTTGCCGAGGCCAACGACTTCCAGGTACTCCCCCGCGCACGCGCTCACAGGCAGCACTCCCTGTGGTGGCTCACGCGGTTGCCCGCCCTGCCCTGCCTATTTGAAGGACGCCTACCTGGAGGACCTGTTCAAGCCGGGGCGGTACAGCCTCACGGCCATCCACAAGGCCTACCAGCAGCTGCGCGACGCCAACAAGATGTTCAACGCCTCCGCACGCGCGCCGCTCTCTGTCGCGCGGCTCCAGCGTGACATCCCCGCTCTCATCCAGGAACTGGTTCGTCGCCCTAGCTGCTTCCTTTAAATTATTATTATTATTATTATTATTATTTAGTGTGATCTATTAACTATAATTATCAATTATTATATATCTATTATATTGTTTTTCTTACAAATGATCACAATAGGCCACGAGCTCGTATCTAGCGCGCAACATCGAGGAGGAGGACATCGAAGAGTACGTGCAGCTGCAGAGGTCCTGCTGGGAGTCCTTCCGGGCCAAGGTCCGGCAGGCCTTTGTTGAAGAGGAGACTCCCATCGCACTCTTCAAGGACCCGCACACGGGCCTTATGATCATCATCAAGAAGGTTCCACAACCTCTTCCCTCGTTCCACTCACAGCACCTGTTGGGGGCATGTAGAGTCCACGCATCTGTTTGACTGATCACACACACACACACACACACACAACGCCAACAGGGCAATCTCACGTTCGCTCGACCCTGTGAAGCGCTGGAGGCACTACACGCTATCAGCCTGCCCAGGACCACCAACAAGCCGCGACAGAAGCTCAATGTCTCGGCCGTGCCATCGGGTACCCGGCGCTGCTCTTTTGCTGATCGTGGCGACTCTACAGACCTCCTGAGCCGTGTGGCTGAGCGCTCGCTAACGATCTCTCGGTGAATGTTGGCGTCGTGTGCCACACAGCTTCGTCCTTGCTGCTGCCCGGAACCAGCGTATACAGCGACCCGGCCTACCAGCTTCAGTCCGAGCTCCTCACCGCCACCAACCTGGTCTCGCAAGAGGTATTTATAACAGTTTAGTTGTTAAACTTGCCATCAACACTTTTTATTTGTTGAACTTATTCGCTTACATTACTGTAATAACACAGTTGGGCGAGGACGTGTTTGCCGCGTTCGAGGAGGAGCTCTACTTCTCGCGGGACCCCTACACCGCGTCCGCGAGGCACATCGACGCCTTCCTCTCCGCCACCCACTCCACCCTCGGGTACGACTATTATTCTATTCTTATTCTTATTATTATTATTATTATTTCAGACGCAAGCTCGAGACGTAAGTTGATTTATATATATACTTTATTTTATATTCAACTTTTTAAATTTGTTTTGCGCTGCAGTGAGCACAAGAAGCGACCATCGCCGTACGAGTTTATCCGCCGGCTGCTGCGAAGCCTGTACGGCACCAAGAAGCTCATCGCCGCCGTCAAGAACCTCCTCGAGCTGCTCGACACCCACCGCCTGCCCGCCACGACTGCCACCAGTGCGCGCCCACTTCCTATTCTAATCGCTCCTATCCTTCACCTCATCTCCTTTCGTGTGCGGCGGTGCGTGTGTGCGTGTGTGTGTCGTGTGCGGTGTCGCAGATGCCGAGGGCGAGGACATGCTGTGGGCGCAGAAGGAAAGCTGGTGCGCGGGCCTCTTTGGCGGCGATTTCACGGAGGGCTTCGTGTCGATGTCGCTCCAGCACATCACCCGCTCCCGCTTCCAGATCTCGCGCGACCTCTTCTTCCTCCTCTCCTTTGTCATGCGGCTCGAGAACACCGTACGCCCCCCCCCCGGAGCCGCCTCGCTCGTCGCTCAGCTGCAATTCGTCTCGACTCACGCTTGCGTGCCGTGTGTGTCGTGTATCGTGTGTGTGGTGTGTGTGGTGTGTGTTCGTGTGTCGTGTGTGTATGCGCCAGGTGGAGCTGCCGGCTAAGGCCTTTGCCGAAATCGAGAGCGAGCTCCTGCCGCGCGTGGCGACCCTCGTCAAGTGCTACCATCTGCTTCATTGGACCACCCTGCAGTACTGCCCCACTTTCGAGAAGTACGCTCATCCCCCCGGCACCACACACACGACGCGACACGACACGCACGCCTGACAAAACTGTGTGTACTTTGGTGTGGATGAAGGCCGAGGACGTCGGATGATCTGGCCAGCTTCTCCGCGCTGGAGATCACCGGCGGACAGCGACAGAACAAGTCGACCGAGGGCCGCACGCTGATGCAGCTGTTCGTGCAGGAGAACAGCACGGTCATCCAGCAGCTGTTCGCGTCGTCGGAGGCGGTGAGCGCCTACCTGCGCTCGCTGGAGGGCGGCAAGCGCAACATCGACGCCACGTCGTCGTTCAACCTCTTTGCCGAGCCGCGCGAGCTGTGGACCGCGCTGGCCACCCCGTTCGTGCAGACCGTGCTGGGCTACGTCACCATGGGCTACCACTTCTCCGTCTTTCTCAAGAACCACTCCTACTACGGCCTGCTCCACGTACTTCTCCGCCCTTCGCCGCCCTCTGGCATCCTTTTACTCACCACGACAACACACACACACACCGCGCGCGCGCACACACACACACACACACACACACACCACACACACGACACATGACACGACTACAGGAGAATCTGCGTTTGTCGGGCAAGACGAGCGGAGTGGCGCAGTACCTGCTCGGCCTGTCGCATCTGGACCTCGCCCAGTTTGACAAGGCCACCGAGTGCTTCCTCCACGCCCTCACCACCCTCTCCTCCGACGGTCCGTACTACCCACTCCCCCCCCCGCCCCTCCTTCTCTTCCACTCACTCACTCACTCACTCCTTCCCACGACACGCACCGCACACGCACGCACATGACACGCACCCCACACGCACCACCGCACACGACTCACACAATAGAGGAGTGCCGGTACTTCAAGGACATGCTGCAGGAGACGACGCACCTGGGGCGCGGGGCCATGGAGACGGACATGCACGTGGAGACCCACGAGCAGAGCCTCGACGTGCCCTTCCTCATGCACGTGATCGAGCTCTTCGAGAGCGTGCGGCAGCCGGAGTTCGCCATCCGCTTCGCCTTTGCCGCGCTCCAGGAGACCCCGCGGGACGACAACGCCTCCCAGGCCTTCCTGTGGTCGGTCGTCTTCAAGTCCAGCCTCGCCCTGCGCGACTACGAGCAGGCCTACCTCGCCCTCCTCTCCAATCCCCACCCCGACAGCTCCCTGTACGCTACCCCCTAACCTCCCTCCTTTGTTTGTTGCCTGCGCCGCTCAGTCTACTTACATCGTGTGTCGTGCGGCCGTGTGCGGTGTGTGCGGTGTGTCGTGTGCGGTGGTCAGGTTGCGCAAGTACGTGGTGGTGCTGTGCACGCAGGGCCAGGTGGGTCTGCTGTGTCAGCTGCCCTTTGCGGGCCTGCAGCAGGAGGTGGTCCAGGTGCTCACGCAGAAGGCGCGCGCCGAGGACGTGCAGCACATCGTCGACGGGCAGAGCCCCAACTACTACGAGATCCTCTACGCCTACCACGTCTTCCGCTCCGACTACCGAAGCGGTACCGCTCCTCTTTACGTTGTTCTTCTTGTTCTTCTTGTTGTTGTTGTTCTTCTTCTTCTTCTTCTGTTCAACTGCTCACCGTGTTCCTGTCGTGTGGTGTTTGTGTGCAGCGGCCTTGTTCATGCACGAGTACGCCATGCGGCTGGGCATCGAAGCGCACGGCAACAGCCAACAGCACCTGCAGCACGTGGTACGACCGCACGACACACACACACACCGCACGACACACACGCACGACTCACCTCCGTCGATGGCAGGCCAACGCGTACCTCACATGCCTCAACGCGTTCCGATTGGTGGACCCCAAGTTCGCGTGGATCCACAAGGCCGAGACCCCCTTCTCGACCGATGACCGACCCGTACTCCCCCCTCCCCCAATTTCCCCTTCCCGCGCCTTCATCGATTCTCGGCCTCACACCCGTCCCCGCCCCCGACGCCACAGAAGCAAATGTCCAAACGCAAGCGCAGCACCGGGCTCGATAAGTCCATCGGTACGCCACCGCACACGCACACGGCACACGCACACGCACTCACGACCTATTTCTATTTTTTTTAAACTCTTCTTAGACATGTCGCCTTTGGTGGGCGGCAAGCCGACGTCGGTGTTCACGACCACGCAGGCCAAGGAGCCGGCCGTCGGTGCCGAGGGCGTCACCACGCTCGAGGACATCGAGATGCGGTACCACCTCACCATGGCCTACCTCACCCTCATCAAGGCCTCCGTCCCCTTCGAGAACATCGGTACCCTCCCCTCTCGCGCGCGACAAGCACGAACCGTTGCATAGCTGACTGTGTGCGGTGTGTGCGGTGTGTGCGGTGTGTGCGGTGTGTGCGGTGAACAGGCCCGAGCGCCTTCGACGTGTTCACGCAGCTGGTCGACGCGGGCTTCTTCGACAAGGCCATCACGCTGGCGGTCAAGTACAGCTTCAACCTGAGCGTCGTCTTCGAGGTCCTCACCAAGCGATGCGTCCTCCTCCAACAGCACGTCGGCTTCTCCGCGTACCCACTCCCCGCCCGCTCCCACTAGAGGTGGCCTTTCATTCTTTTGACCTTACCACTCCATTTTTTGCGTGCCGTGTGCGGTGGCGCGTGTGCGTGTGCGGTGGTGCGTGTGCGGAACAGTGGTGGGAGCCAGGGGCTGCACTTTGACGAGGACTGGAGCGGGGGTGGCGGGGGGCTGGCGACCAGCGCGTGGCGCATGCTGAAGAAGTATCTGAAGCAGTATGACCCCGTCCACGTCAACGGCTACCGCAAGGCCGTCGCCCACAAGATCCTCTCCCTCGACAACCGCATCAAGCTCCCCAAGTGGCTCGTCGAATCCTTCAAGGTCTGCGCTCCACGTTGGTCGTGTGGTGTCATGTGTCGTGTGTCGTGTGTAGTGTGTCGTGTCGTGCGGTGTCACAGCACTTACACGTGCGTGTGCGGTGTCGACAGAAACATGACGTGGCAACGCTGTTGTACCTGTACCTCAAGTTCGGCGTGTACGACGACGCGATCGATCTGGTGGTGGAGGTGCTCGACGAGAAGGAGGAGCGACGGCGGGAGGAAGAGGCGGGAGGCGGCCGCGGCCGCGGCGGCAAGGCCCTGGCCGAGTGGCTGCCCTACGCGCGCCTCGAGCAGCTCGAGCAGCAGATCCAGGCGGTCGTGGCCGACGCCGCGTCGCCCCTGTCGGCCACCGAGCGCAACCGGCTCGTGGGCGCCCACAAGCACCTGCGCACCAAGCTGGCGCGTTACCTGCAGCACGTTGACCAACGCACCTTCGGCCTCAAGCAAGAGGGGACCGCCGCCTCCTAGGAGTTCCAGGTGGTGGCAACAACCGATTCATTCATCCCTCCACGATGAACGCGACCATCATCATCATGTCTTCAGCCGCTTCATCACACGAGAATTCTTGACCAGAAACTACATAACTATGTTCTGGTTGGCCGGGCGGCGTTACATGTTAACAACATGTTGTGGCGGTGTTGGTTGTGGTCGAACACCTGCACGTCGAGGCTTAAAGGTCGATGGAGCCCCACAGAAGGAAGAAGAAGGAAGCACTCTGGGCAAGAAAGGAGGTTGAGGTCATTGACTGCGTTGATGGTAATTAAGAGAGCGGGGCAAAAATTTGCGGGGCCGCAAGAAAGAAGTCAGTTGACAACACACTCTCAAGGGCGTCCGATGGACTAACTTCGAGGGCCATGGCCGCAGGTTTGGCTCAGGCCTCACGCGTTGGTGGGGAAGCAAGTGTAGCCGGAGCAGATGCAGCCTCCGCTCGAGTTCGGGCCTGCGGGCACGGTCCACGGTTCAGCGCAGGCTTGCCATGCTGAGTGCGCGAGGGGCTACAACGTACCGTAGGGGAAATAGGTGATCTTCACTTGGGTGTTGGGCGCCCAGCCCCAAGTGGGGTGGCAGAAGCCCACGCACTGGTCATAGGTGCCTGTTTGGAGGGGTTGGAGGGGGCAAGATTGTCATCATCGACGAAGAGACGCGGCTGCATTGCTGGGTGCTGGGTGCTGGGTGGGGGGGGCGATTGATTGAGTACCGGTGTAGGCGCCACAATAGGAACAGCCGAGCTGGCAGTCGGCGCAGATGACACGCGGGTAGAGGCCCGGGCACGGGGCGCCCTGGTCGGCATCGGCGGGCACGTCGAAGAGCTGGGCGGAGGTCGCCACGACCATCATCGTCGTCATCATCAGCAAGGCGCACAAGCAAGCCACCGATACAGCTTTCATCCTCCTGGTGTTGTTTTTGTTGTTGTTGATGATGTTGTTGAACTGAGCCGGCGGAGCACCTGGGGCGACATTTGGCCGCCAACCGTGGCAAAATCTGGAAATGCTCATCTCTCGCCATTGGCTGTCACCTAAGGAGTCGGTGAGGTGCGGGGCCCTAGCCGGTCCAGCGGGGCAAAACCGCCGTCGGCGTGAACTGCCAGCATCGTGGTCGTGGCCGACAACAACAACCATCGAACGCCGCTGTGGAGGGGGATGGTGGCATCGATGAATGGAATGCATGCGCGGAAGGCTCTGTCCAGCCGGCGCCTGTTGCAACTGCCCACCAGCTTGCCCAATGGCAGGACCCTGAGAGTTTGGGCGGAATTTGACATATGTTGTCGACACAGCGAATTAATTTGACCTACACGCACGAGGCCGCAAGACGAAGAGCCTGGCGACAGCTCACGGCGGAGAAGGGTTGAGACAATCGCTTCTTGGACACCACTCGCCCCTCCTTCCCTTTCCATCTTGAACTCGAAGAACAAGAGAAGAGAAGGAGGCAAAAGCGAAGGAGGACATCTCTTTCTGTAGCTCTACGCATTCCCCCTCTCCATCCCCCCCTGCAAAATCACATCACATCATCTCGACATCACAACATGCGGGCGTCTTCGGGTGGCGGCCGCGCGAAGGGGTTCGTCCCGGTGGCGGTGGTGACGGGTTTCTACGGGTCGGGCAAGACGAGCCTGCTGCACCGCCTCGCGGCCAAGCTCGTCGCCCCCTCCTCGTCGCCCCTTTCCATCGCTCTCCTGCTGCACTCCCTCTCCGAAGGCACACCCCCATCCCCCCCACCTACCTCCTTCCTCCTCCTCCTCCTTCTTTTTGCACCATCTTCCATCTCTCTACACAAATCTTTTCATTCATTTTTTTAATTTTTCATTATTTTTTAAAATTTAATTGGAGATCATTTGATCCATTGAATGACTTCACTGCACGAGAGCGTGTAGCACCAAACCCTAACCAGGAGCTTGCATGCAAATTTGTGGCGCTACGCGAAACAAAAATCAATCAAAATGCAGAGTCGGTGGAGGCGGGTTGGGTGCGGGGGCGATTGCGTAATGTTCCGCGTGGACGACTGGCGGTGGAGGAGGTCACCGGCTGCGGACCCGATCTGCCGCAGCGCTTCATCGAGGCCCTCTCGCGTCTCGCCCGCAGCGATTTGTACGACTACATCTTCGTCGAGCTCCTTGGCGACCAGAACCCGCTGCACCTCGCCCACCTCCTCACACTCTCCGACGCGCGCGGCACTCCTCTCTCCGACTTTCTTCAAGTGCGTCTTCCATCTCTTCTCCCATCTTCCATCTTTTTCTTTTGCTCTTTCCTTCCTCAAGTTACCGTGTGTCGTGTCGTGTCGTGTGCGGTGTTGTGTGTCGTGTCGTGTTGTGTGTGTGCAGCTGGATGCGATCGTGTGCGTGGTGGACGCGAGTCGTCTGATCACGGACGCCAAGTCGCGGCTCGACGTGGTGCGAGCGCAGCTGGCCGCCGCGCAGGTGGTGGTGCTCAACAAGACCGACCTGGTCTCGTCCCAGGAGCTGCGGAAGGTGGAGACGGCCATGCGCCTCGTCGCCCACAACTCCACCGACGAACTCGACGCGCGCGTCTACCACGCCGTGCACGCCGACCTCGCGCCCACGCTCCTCACCAACACCGGACTCTTCTCCTACAACCGCGTCATGACCCTCCCCTCGTGGCCCCAACAACGTACCATGACCTCTCCCTCCGTAGCGCGTGTCGTGTCGTGCGCTAACACACACACCACACACACCACACACACACACACACCACACACACCACACACACACACACACACACACACACACACACACACCCCACACGGCAGTGTGGGTGCCGGAGCAGTGCATGAATGCGTTCGTGTACAGGGCGCAGCGGCCATTCCAGCCCGACCGCCTGTGGAAGGTGGCGTCGTCGAGCATCTCGCACCTGAAGGCCGTGGTGCGGGCCAAGGGCCTCGTGTGGCTCGTCTCGCGGCCCGACCGCTGGGGCTACTGGTCCCAGAACCCACAGTCCATCGACATCTCTGGTGCGCTGCGCTTGCAACCAGGCCATCCGCACGGCCTCGTGCGCCAACGAATTCATCTCACCCGACTCCGTGTCGTGTGTTGCGTGCGTGTGTCGTGTGTCGTGTGCGTGTTTCATCGTGTGTGTGTCGTGTGCGTGTTTCATCGTGTGTGTGTCGTGTGCGTGTTTCATCGGGTATTGTGTGTGTGGCTCGTCAGGCGGCGACGCTTGGTCGATATCCAGCGGAAAGGACAAACGGCAAGAGATCCTCTTTGTGGGTACGTCCACCGCACACGACACGCTCGACACACGACACACGACACTGAACACTCGACACGTGACACACACACGCACACACTAGGAGGGCAAGACTTGGACAAAGAGGCCATCAGTCGTCTGCTGGACGCGTGCCTGCTGAAGGACACCGAGGCCACGCCCGAGCGCATGGCCACCGTCCACGACCCCTTCCCCGCCTGGGAGCCCCTGTCCAGCTCTGACTCCGCCTCCGCCTCCGCCTCCACACCCACACACACGCCCGCCGGCGCCCCCTCGACTCGCCCGTCATCGACAGACTCGGCCGCACTGCCGGCCTCGCGTCAATCCGCGCCGTCGCCGCAATCGCCGTCGCCGGCGTCGATGGGCAGCGGTGGCCAGCCGATGGCGCGCCGCCACCACGCCAACGCGGCGATGGAGGCCAAGGCCAAGGCCAAGAAGGCCGAGATGAAGGACTTTGCCGGGGCGCTCCGGGACGCCGCGAAGCAGGTGGTGGCCGACTGCCGCGCCCTCGCCGAGTTCGTCGAGCACCAGTCCACCACCTCGCTCACCGCCGACGAAGATTCCGAAACCTTCAACGTATTGCCACGCCGCGCATTCCACACATTCCTGGGCTTATTCTCACCGCACACGACACCGCACACGCACACGCACACGCACACGCACGCACAGGAGCCGGAGGAGGGAGATGGGGAGGTGGAGGCGCAGGTGCTGCAGCTGGCCAAGAACCTGGCGATGGCGGCGACGACGCTCGACCAGGAGATCACGTCGCACATCACGGCCCACCCGCAAAACTTCGGGTCGCTCAAGGAGAAGAAGTTCCTGGGCCTCCTCCAGCAGGTCAAGGACGCCGTGCTGAGCCTCATCAAGGCCTCCAAGCACGTCGTCAGCAACCCCCGCGATTGGATGACCAAACAAAAGGTAAATCATTTTTATTCTTTTTTATATACATTTATATTCTCAATCTTGTAAGCGTTTGGATTTGCGTTTCCAACTGTTGACGAAATGATTTCGAAATCAAAAATAGGTGACGAACTCGCTGAGAGACGTGGGCGTGTCGATCAAGGAACTCGTCGCGCTCGCCGACAACATGCACACGTACTCGACCACCTTAACATTTCTATTTTTCATTCTTTACTTAACGTGAACTCTTTATGGCGTGGAATGTGAAACAGGCCACAAAGCGTGGCGGCGGTGGTGAGCGCGTCGAAGGCGGCGGCCGCTGGTGGAGCTGCTGGAGGCGCCGGCAACGCCGGACGGCCCTCGAGCCTCGACCCGACGCCGGGCGCACAAGACGCGGCGAAGAAGGCCGCGCCGGTCGCCGCGGTCACCCGAGCATCGATGGTGTCGGCAATGACGTGGCCCAACCAGGGACCCGTTGCCGCTCTCGGGTCGCCCATCAATTCGCCTCCGCCGTCGCCCGCGTCCACGCCCGGCCGTGCCTCGGCTCGCCTGGGCTCCGGTGGCGAGGCCGGCGCTCTCCTCGGTTCGCCCCCTCTTCTTCGCTTTTTCGCTCTTCGCTCTTCGCTCTTCGCTCTTTTATTTTTAACTCCTATTCGTCGCGCTGGGCAGGCCCGGAGATGAAGAATGCCATCATCACCGAGACCAAGGCTGCTGGTATGTGTGGACTCGCTCACATTCCACATTCCACATGCCAAACGTTCCCGAGCATCAGCCAGGCTGACGCAATTCGTGTGTGATTCGTGTCAACAGCGCTGGCGCTGACGCTGGTCGACGAGGCCGTGAAAGCGCATTCGTCGCTCAAGTTCGTGTCGACCTCCCGCGACTGCGTGACGCGCTGCAAGAATCTCATTCAGATGGGCAACGATTGCGTCGACATTCTCCCGCCCTCCCTCCTCGCCACAGAAAACGACTACCCCAGGCACGCCACCCTCAACACATTCATTCACATTCCTGGCATTCACGTTTTGTGTGGAATGTAATGTAATACTTATATTTATCTTTATATGACGTGGCGCGGGCAGCCCGATCGAAAGAGAGGGCAAGGAGCTGTCGGAGCTGCTCATGGACTTCGTGGCCGCCGGTCGGCGCATATTCGCGCCCGGGGCCGACCCCGCCCGCGCGGCCGAGAGCGAGCAGGCCTTCCAGGAGATCAAGCGCGGCCTGGCCCACAAGATCAAGTCGCTCTCCATCTCCATCCTGGCCTCCATCCAGAAGTTCGAAGACGGCGAGGCCAGCAGCGGCGGCAACGGCGACTCGCGGCGCGCGATGAGCCCCGGACCCTCCCCGCTCGCCTCGCGCTCGTCGTCCTCCTCCTTCTCCGCGCCGTCACCCGCTTCTGCCACGTCATCGCCGTCGACGGCGCCCGCCAGTGGCAAGCAACCGCGGCCTATTAGCATGCGCGGGCCTGGCGCCGCCGCCGCTGCGGCCCCGCCGGCCAAGCCCGCGGCTCCCACGCTGCGGCTGGCGAGCAACCCGCACCACCAGAAGCACATGGAGGAGCTCGAGAACCTGCTCACCCGCGTGGGCGGGCTGGGCGGGCCGCCGGGCGGCGATGCCAGCACCCTGCGGCGCACCGCACCCGGCGGCGGCGCGCCTGCGTCGCAGCATCAACAGGCCTCCACCGCGTCCGAGGCCGGCGAAGACCCGGCCGGCCGACCGCCCATTCCCACGCGCCACAGCCCCAAGCCGCCCTCCATTCACGCCGCCGTACGCGTGTCGTGTGTCCGCTTGTGTGTGTGTGTGTCGTGTGTGTGTGTCGTGTGTGCGTGAGGTGTGTGCGGTGTGTGCGGTCGATGGTTGATTGGTTTTTGGGCTGCTGGTGCAGTTTCTGCAAAAGTCGGCGTCGGTGCGGGCGATTGCGGCGGCGGAGGAGGGCCAGGGGCTGGCCGGAGCAGCCGGGCCGCAGCCCCACGCGGCCGACCCGTGGCGCGCCGGCTCCCGCATCTCGCTCCCCGTCAACTTCGCCAAGCAGGAAGGTAACGTCAACAACACAACTTCAGCGCCACTCACTTTGAGAGCTCAGTGCTTTTTATCAATGAATGAACGGAATGCGCCGACTGACCCTCTGGAATGTTGTGCGTGGAATGTGAAACGTTTGGTTTTATCGTGCCCAGGGCTGCTCAATGACATGGAGGCCGAACACACGCAGCAGGCCAACAGCCGCAACTCCAACTCCAGTACACAACACCGCACACGCACACACGGCACACGCTCACCGCACGCGCCTGCGCACGCGCACACCGCACACGATGGCACACGCGTGCACACGACATCGCACACGCTCACCGCACACGACGACACACGACGACACAGGTTCGGCGATCAGCGAGTTCAGCCGGAAGGTGAAGGAGGAGAACGACTACCTGGAGCGGATGAAGACCATGAAGTCCTACAGCGAATGGCGCCAGAACACCATCGCCCGCTCCGCCCACAAGAAGATCCTCAACCACATGCCCGACGTACCTACCCCTCCCCCGTGCGTGCGTGTGCGGTTGCGTGCGTGCGTGCGTGCGTCGCGCGCGTGCGTGTATCGTGTGTGTGCGTGCGTGTGTCGTGTGTGTGCTGAGTGTGGTGTGTGCGGCAGGTGAATGTGGGGACGCCGGCGGAGCAGCAGGCCAACATTGTGGCGTCGTTCGGGGAGACGCTCACGTTCTTCATCGTGTCGGCCAACGAGTATGTGCTCCAGGCCCAGGCGCCCGACCTCGACCCGGCCGCCCTCGCCGAGCAAGCCAACGGTACCACCAACCAACCATATTTCTTGTCGACTCCAACCATTAAGTTGTTGCCATGTAACCACTTAATGACAACAATTGCGGTTGCTGTTGCTGTTGTGGTTGCTCCGATGTTAGGATTGGAGGCGAGCGTGGCCGCGGTCGGGCGGTTGCTGCGCAACGTGGTCGGGCTGTGCATGGAGGTGAGCGGCAAGTACTCGGCGCCGTCGGTCTTTGGGAAGATCCTCAACAACCTCCTCACCGCCATCGAGAGCATCCCGCCCGCCGGCAAGGCCGACGAACAGACCGTCGCCGCCGCCACCGGTGCCGCCTCCCTCTGGAATGCGCCTGGAATGTGCTCGCACCCACACCCGCTTGGAATGCACTCACACCTGTCTGGAATGCGGTGGAATGTGGACAATGTGACACACGACACACACACGACACACACACGACACGACACGACACGACACGACACACAGGGCACTACCAGACGTGGATCCTGGCGCGCATGAACGAGAAGCTGATCTTCGAGCAGTCGAGCGGGCTGATGCTGTTCGCCCGCCAGGCCCTGTCGTCGCTCCGCTCGAACCTGTTCCTGACCGCCAACAGCGGACCCATCATTCTCTACCTGGCCGCCATCGTGTCGACGATGTGCAAAAAGATCGTCACCCTGCTCGACCTCACCGAGACCTGCAAGCTCATCTACCGACACCGCAAGGCCCGCGAGAACCGCACCAACTCCCTCCGCCACCACTCCCTCGCCGTACGTGTCGTGTCGTGCTGTGTGTGTCGTGTGGCGCGCGTGTCGTGTCGTGCGGTTGGTGACGGACGTGTGCGGTCGGCGTGTGCGGTGGGGACAGGATGCGGAGGCGATGCTGGAGTCGATGCGGGATGATGTCGACATTTGGGAGGAGGAGGCGGAGAATTCGTCGAATCTGCGGCGTGGGTCGTTCCAGGTGACGTCAGCCGCCGCCAAAGACGCCCGCGACGCCGCCTCGCCCCTCGTCGCGCCCCTCCACTCCGCCGCCGCCACCGGCGGCAAAAAAGAGTACGCCCACGTGACACGCGCCGTGTGTGCCGTGTGTGCCGTGTGCAACGCGCGTCTCACCTGTGCGTGCGGTGTGTGCCGTGCGTGCGGTTGGTGTGTGCGGTTGGTGTGTGCGGTTGGTGTAGGGAGAGCAAGGAGAACAACAAGATCATGGCCGGCTCGCTCAACAAGCTGGTGGAGGCCCTCACCTCGGACACCCAGTACGACAACCGATTCCTGAAGACCTTCATCACCACCTACCAGTCCTTCACCACCCCCGCCAAGCTCTTCGACAAACTCCTCCAACGGTACTCGTGCCATGCGTGTCGTGTCGTGCCGTGCGTGTCGTGTCATTAACACGCGCGCGTGTGTCGTGTGTGTGTCGTGCGTGCGGCACGCGCAGGTACAACGTGCGAACGGACCGGGTGGACGCGTCGCGGGTGAAGGCCATTCAGCTGCGGGTGTGCGTGGTGCTCAAGTATTGGGTGGAGAACCAGTTCTTCGACTTTGACGAGGAGCTCATCCAGCAGATCTTCGACTTTGTCGGCGGCACCCTCGAGCAGAACAACCCCGACCTCGCCGGCATGGTCGCCAAGGAACTCCAAAACCGCGTACGACACGACACGACACACAACACAACACGACACACGCGTGCATTCTTGGCATACCGCACACACACACACACACACACAACGAGTGTGCATTCCTGACATACCGCACACACGCGCGCGCAGATATTGGAGCGGAAGGACAAGATGAAGACGATGTTCATCAAGCCGCAGGAGCTGGTGGCGCCGCAGGTGTCGAGCGTGTCGGCCCTCTTCATGAGCATGAAGGCCGAGGACCTCGCCCGCCAGCTCACCCTCATCGAGTTCGAGATCTACTCCTCCATCTCCGTACGCCCGCCCCCTCCAGCCCCCACCCGCCCCCTCCAGCCCCCTCCAGCCCCTCCCGCTTACGACACGACCGCACACGACACACACGACACACAGGGGTCGGAGTTGTTGGGCCAATCGTGGAACAAGGAGTCGCTGCAGCACCGGTCGCCCAACGTGATGGCCCTGATCCACCGGGCGAACAAGCTCTCGTTCTGGGTCTCGACCATGATCCTCAACGAGGACACCCACAAGGCCCGCAAGAAGATCTTCGAAAAGTTCATCGCCATCTCCGACCAGCTCTTCAAACTCAAGAACTTCCACACCCTCATGGTACGACACACGCGTACGACACGACACGACACGCACGGCACACGACACGACACGCACGGCGCATGACACGTACGGCACACAACACGACACACGATGAATGACACGCACGCGCACGCGCAGAGTATAATTGCGGGGATCAACACGAGTCCGATATCGCGGCTGCGGGCGACGAAGAAGGACATCAAGGGCAAGCTCACGAAGGCCTTCAAGCGGCTCGAGGAGATCATGAACCCGCAGGGCTCCTTCAGCAACTACCGCAACATCCTCCACACCTCCTCCCCACCCTGCATCCCCTACCTGTACCCCCCCCTTCTCGCCCCACCCGCCGCCCCCTCCCGCCCCTTCCAGCCCCCACCCGCCCCCTTGCTAATGGCATGACACGTACAGGGGAGTGTATTTGTCGGACCTGACGTTCATGGAGGACGGCAACCCGGACAAGGTGGACAACCTGATCAACCTGGGCAAGCGGGAGCTGATCTACCGCGTGATCGAGGAGGTCAACCAGTACCAGGTCACCCCCTACCAGATCCAGGCCAACGAACCGATCCACACCTTCCTCCGCGAGCTCCCGCACCTCGAGGAGAAGGACCTCTTCGACCTCTCCCTCGTCCGCGAACCGCGCCGGCCCCAGAACTGAGCGCTCGAGCCAATGTACAACCCAACAAAAGAGAAAAAGAGAGTTTTCAAAAAATTGAGAACACGACACGACACGACACGCGCGCGCGAGTGTCATGGTCGGACTTCGCAGCCGGCGCAGGTGTGGAGGAGGTCGTGCGCGAACACGTCGCACTCGTAGCAGAAGCTACGGGCGCACCGCGGGCACGCGTAGACTTCGGCGCCACTCGTCGTGGACGACCCCTTCACCCGCCGGCGGCACCCAAAGCACACCACCTCCTCCCTGCTCCCCCCCCACACATCAGCGTGTGCGGTCGTGTCGTGTCGTGTCGTGTCGTGTCGTGTCGTACGTGGGGGCTAAGGGGACGGCTTGGAAGAGGGGCAGGGGGAAGAGGTGGTGGTAGGAGCGGGCCAGGTGGGACGAGGAGACCAGCGTGAGGCCGCACACGGGGCACTCCATCGGCAGCTCGCAGCACTTGGCCCCGCACTGCGGACACACATAGCCCTCCCGCCGCAGACTCTTGTGGCTGGCCGCACACGCCGCACGACACGACACGCACGGGTCAACCCACCGCACACGCCTACCGCACACGCCCGCAGCACGACACGCACAGGGGGAGGGGGTACCAGGAGCAGAAGGAGGGGAAGTGGTCGCGCTTGCGGGTGGGGAAGCCCATGCGGATGAGGGACGAGGCGACCTGCTGGGGCTGCGCGGGCGGCGGCGAGACGTGGGCGAACACCAGCTGCCGGTAGTGGCCCTCGTGCAGCGCCACACCGTACGTGCCCTGTGTACGCACACGCGCCACCGCACATGCACACGCGTGCCGCACACGCCGCAATGTGAGAATCGCACACGCGCGCCGCACAAGCGATGGTGGTGGGCGTACGTCGGTGGACTCGGCCAGGACGCGGCAGATGTGAATCTCGGCCGACAAGCCCACGATCGAACACCGAATGCTGTCTTTCTGTTGTGTGTGTCGTGTGTGTGTCGTGTGTGTGTGTGTCGTGTGTGTGTGTGGTGGTCGTGTGTGTCGTGTGTCGTGTGTGTCGTGTGTGTCGTGTGTGTCGTGTGCGTGTGTCCTGGTGAGCACACGTACGCGTGTCGTGTGTGCGGTCGTGTGTGCGGTGCGTGTACCTTGAGTTTGGAGATGGTGGATTTGATGTCGGTAGGGTCGCACGTGGCCAGCCCTGCGAACAGAACCACGATCTCGCGGCTCCCGTACTTGGGCACGTGACTGCGCCCCCCCTCTCCCATGAGCGTCGTGTCGTGTCGTGCGCGCGTTGTGTGCGCGTGCGTGTCGCGGCGTGTGTCGTGTGTCGTGCGTGTCATGTGTCGTGTGTGTCGTGCGTGCCATAGGGAGGAGTAGGCCTCTTCGATGGCGTTCTGGAGGGAGGCCGATCCGCCCGTCGACGCCTTGTCCTTGAGCACCCCGATGTGTCTCGCCGGATTCCCTGCACGCCCCCCCCCCCGGGTCAACACGACACGCACCGCACACTCACCGCACACACAACACACGCGCACGACACTCACCGCACACACGACACGCGACACGCGATATGACACGACACGACACGCGCGTACCGCCGAGCTCGGAGAGCTTCTCGGCGGCGCCGTCGCGCATGATGACGATGCCCAGCTGTGCGATCGGGTTCTGCTCAAAGTACTCCCTGATGAACGACTGCGTGTGCGTGTGCGTGTGCGTGTGCGGTCAGCCCCGTGCAGTGCGTGCGGTTGCGCGTGTGCGGTGCGTGTCGTGTCGCGTGTGTGCGTGTGCGTGTGCGCACCTCGACGATCTTGAGGGTGACGGCGAGGCGCGAGGGCTTCATGTCGTGGGCGTCGTCCATGGCCTGCGACAGGTCGACCACGAGGAACACGTGCCGCTGCATCCCGCGCCGCACCACCCGCCCACCCGCCCCGCCGCCCAGCTGCTCCCTCTCCGCTCTTGACACGAAAAAAATACAAATACAAATAAATTAAAAAAACAGATAAATGCAAATATCTAAAAACACAATGAAGAAATCTTATTATAAAATTGTGTTAATTTCTAAATAAAATGCAAATAAATAACTAAATATAAAAAATGAATAAGAATAAGATTTATAAATAAGATTTATAAATAAGAAAGAAATGAGGATGGGGGCGGGACCGGCGGAGGCGCTGTTGGGAGTGGAGGAAGGAGTGGGTGTCGAGTGCGCCGGTGGCATCTTCCTGGACCACCTCCCACGTCCGCTCGTAGTCGCGCTCCCACGCCAGCCGCGCACTGCCCTCGTCGCCATCTCCCTCGTCTTCCTCCCACGATCGCCTCTCGTCATCCACCTCCATCTCTCTCTCTCCTTGCTGATCTCTTCAAAGAAATAATTCAAAAAGAATAAAATAAAACCGTTATTTATTTATTTATTTTTATTTGGTGGCACCACAAATCGTCGAATGGAGCTGCCGCGCGAGGGCGGAGAGGAGGAGGGAGGGCATGCGCCAGGCGCTACTTCTGGAAGTGCATCGACGACGCCTCCGCATTCACCGCAATCGGCAGCGTCAGGGCACGTAGCGAGGAGGAAACGATTTTACAACGTGGCCATGTTCTGCGATTTCTTCTACCCCAACATGGGCGGCGTGGAGAACCACCTCTACCAGGTGGCCTCCTGCCTCGTCCTGCGCGGCCACAAAGTACACATCTCTAGTTATTTATTTATATTTTTATTTATTTATCATCTTTATTCTTTATTTTTTTCTATTATCATCTTTTTCATGTGCATGGTGCTGCGTGCGTGTCGTGTGTCGTGTGTCGTGTGTCGTGTGTCGTGTGGCGTGTGTCGTGTGGCGTGTGTCGTGTGGCGTGTGGCGTGTCGTGTGGGCACTCACGGAGCGTCGGGGATGATCAGGTGGTGATTGTGACGCACAGCTATGGCAATCGGGAGGGCGTGCGCTATCTCTCGAGTGGCGTGAAGGTGCGCCCGCACTGCGCAGTGCCTCTTCTCTTGCGTTCTCGCTGACGCCGCACTTCTTGTGCGGTGGTGCGTGTGCGGTGCTGCGTGCGTGCGTGTGTGCGTGTGCGGTGCTGCGTGCCATGTAGGTGTACTACCTGCCGCACATTCCGATCATTCTGCAAAACACGCTGCCCAGCATCCTCCTCACCTTCCCCTACTTCCGCTGCATCCTCCTGCGCGAGCAAATCGACATCGTCCACGCCCATGGCGTATGTATTTCTTTTTCTTTTTCTTTTCTTTTTACACGACACAACACACGACACGACACGACACGACACGACACACACACGACACGACACGACACACACGACACACGACACACGACACACACTAACATACGACACGGCCTGACGTGTGTGACACACGTGTCGCAGGCATTCTCTACGTTTGCGCTCGAGGCGCTGCTGCACTCGGGGGTGATGGGCTACCCATCGGTCTTCACCGACCACTCGCTGTTCGGCTTCGCCGACGCCAGCAGCATCCACATGAACAAGCTCCTCAAGATCGTCTTCTCCAACGTGAGCCACGTCATCTGCGTCTCCAACACCAGGTGCACCACTCCTTTCCTTTCTTTTCTCCTTTCCCCCTTTCATTTCCTCTCTCTCTCTCTCTCTCTCTCTCAAACTGACCCCGTGTGTCGTGTGTCGTGTGTCGTGTGTCGTGTGCGTGGGTCGTGCGCGTGTCGTGTGTCGTGTGTCGTGTGTCGTGTGCAGTAAAGAGAACACGGTACTGCGAGCGCAGATACATCCGTCTGGCGTGTCGGTCATCCCCAACGCCGTGGACAGCTCCGCGTTCGTGCCCGAACCCGCCAATCGCATCTGCGGAAGACGTACGCCACCTAACCCTCTGCGCACGACACAACACGCACCACACACGACACGCACACGACACGACACGACACGACACTCACGTCGGTGCAGTCACGATCGTGGTGATCAGTCGGCTGGTGTATCGAAAGGGAGTGGACCTGTTGGTCGACGTCATCCCCGAGGTCTGCCGGCGGTTTCCCGACGTGCACTGGCTCATCGGCGGCGACGGCCCCAAGCGGCTCGACCTGGAGGAGATGCGGGAGCGGCACCAGCTCCACGACCGCGTCGAGATGCTGGGCAACCTCAAACACGATCGCGTGCGTTCTTTTCTTCATGACACGACACATACGACACGACACGCGCGGGGCTGACATGACACGACACGACACGCGCGGAGCAGGTGCGGGAGGTTCTGACGAGAGGCGACATTTTCCTGAACTGTTCGCTGACGGAGGCCTTCTGTATCGCGATCGTGGAGGCGGCCTCGTGCGGGCTGCTCGTCGTCTCCACCAAGGTCGGCGGCGTGCCCGAGGTGCTGCCGCCCCACATGCTCCGATTGGCCGAGCCCAAGCCCAGCGGTGCGACCCGCACACACCACCGCACACACGCACACGACACGACACGACACGACACGACACGACACGACACGACACGACACGACACGACACGCGCTGACAAAACAACGAAACATCAGAGATTATGGAGGCGCTGGTGGAGGTGATCCCGCTCGCGCGCGGGCGACCGGCCGAGGCGTTCTACGACTTCAACGCCCAGATCGGGAAGATGTACAGCTGGATGAACGTCACCACGCGCACCGAGCGCGTCTACGACTCCATCGCCAACACCCCCATCCGCTCCGCCCTCGACCGCATGAAGAGGTCCGTATCGTGTCGCGTGACGTGCCGTGTGTCGTGTCATGTGTCGCGCGTGTCGTGTCGTGTCGTGTGCCGTGTGTGCCATGACTGAGTTGGGTGGTGGTGGTGGTGCAGGTTGCATGGCACGGGGTGGTGGTGCGGTAAGATCATGGTGACGGGCTGGATCGTGACCTTCCTCCTGTGGATGGTCTTCGAATACTTCTACCCAAGCGCCGAGATCGACATCGCCGTCCCCTTCCCACCGAAGATGACCTCTTCCTCTTCTTCATCATCATCTTCTTCATCATCATCATCTTCATCATCGTCTTCATCACCGCACTCGCCTTCATCGTCGCCATCTCTTCCTTCGCCTTGGATCTCGGTCTACCCCCAGGCCACCGCACCATCGCGATCTGACCCGCGCGCCACCATCAAGACCAAGCACGACTGACCTCCCTTACCCTCCCTTTATTTATTTATTTGTGAATAAAAGAACTGCTTTTTGTTACTTTTGTGTGTTGTGTGTGTTACTTGTTTTTGTTGAACCTGAGATATCAAGAGGATGACAGACCACCCACCAGGATCTGCACAGTGGAGGAGAAACAGCCCACGGCTTGGACAAAACAGGGTTCAGGAAGGCAAGGTGTGTCAGTTTGTGCCTTGTGCTTCTGGTGTGATGGCCATGCCCCATTGGCCCAAGACTGTGGATTCTTGAAATCCACAGAACCAGTTCTGTGTGCGTTGGGGTGGAGTTGCGCCATTGGCCCTCTCACCTGATGTTGGCAATGGCACGCGTTCGCTCCACTCCCCACATCCACCCCACAGTGCTGGGTTGTCACCACACAAGAAGCCAAGGCACAAGCAAGTAGTCAAGAAGGTGAACTAGACAAGAGAAGGAGAAGAAGCGTGTCAGTGGAGTGGAATGGAGAAGAAGAAGACGATCGGTCAGGGCATGGGCCAGATGAGCAAGTCCCTCGGCAAGTGGGACGACGAGGGGCGACGAGACAGGCAGATGGTGGTGGCCCGCGGCCAAGGGACCAGACGAACCACCTTCAAGGACGAAGAAGGCTCAACTTCGCCGCCTTCTGCGGCCGATCGGCGAGGCCGTCTGCGAGCCGAGGAGGAGGAGGCCTCACTGGTGAACGTGGTCAAGGCCTTCGCGGGCAAGACCTCGGAGACGGTGGACAAGTACGAGGAGGCTCGCAAGAAGTCGAAAATCAATCGATTCTTCAAGGGCGTACGAAACATCTTTCCCAAAGGAAAGAAGAAGTCCGACAAGAAGAAGAGCAAGGGCGGCGACGCAGCTTCATCCGATTCGGAGGGAGACGGAGCATCATCCTCTTCATCAAAGAAGCGCTACGCGAAGGAAGAGAAGAGAAAAGAAAGAGAAATTGGTGGAGGGAAATTCCAGGAGAAAGAGAGGAAGAGGAGGGAAGAAGAGGAGCGCAAGCGGCAGAGCGAACTCGAGGACAGGCGCAAGCAACGGAGGGCGAGCGCTGCCGCTGACGAAGAAGATGAGGATGAATCGCGAAACAACAAATCGTCGGAAGGTGAAGAAGACCAGCTCGAGGATAGGCGCCAGATGAGGAAGCAGGAGCATCTCCTCAAGCGGGCTCAGAGCGCCCCCTCCCCGGCCAAGCTCGAGAAGGATGAATCCAGCGACCGCCCCCACAGCATACGCGAAAAGGTAATATTATATTATTTTAGGTGTGATTTTTATTTTTATCTGTTCTATTTTCCTTATTAGGGCTAATTCGAATTTAAATTTGGCCTGCGTGTAGTATCGGGCGAAGCTGGAGGCCAAGAAGGCGGCAGCGCTGGTCGAGCTGAATAAGGAGGAGGCCGAGAAGGAGCAGGCGAGGCAGCGACAGGCGGCCAAGGCCGAGGAGGCCGCCATCGACAGCTTCCTCGAGCGGGCGGCCCAGCGGCGCCGCGGCACCGAGGAGCGCGTGGGCTTCCGCTCCAAGCGCGCCAGTCTCGACCGAGGCCTCTCCGCCCCACTTCAGCCCAGCGGAGAAGAGGATGAAGAAGACGATGAGCACGCCGCACGTCGTCGTCGCTTGGGTCTCGCTACAGCGAAGAAGGAAAATGGAACCAGTTCGACATCGTCCAAGAGGAAGAAGGAGGAGGAGAAGGGCAAGGAGGTGGTACGGACGGCCAGCGCGAGGACCCACAAGAAGGTGGTACCGACCCGAGGCCACAGCGAGCCGCAGACGATGAGCGGCAGCATGGGCGGCCTCGCCACGAGCGCGGCCATCGGCGGCGCCAAGCTGGTCGGCCGCTACGTTCAACAGCGGCTCGTCGACGAAAATGCTGACGTGGACAGGGGCGAAAAAGATGAAGATGAAGATGACGAGGAAGAAGAAGAAGTGGAGAGGGCGCACAGGTGGAAGGACAGGGAGAGGGCGCGTAAGGTCAACGAGCGGATCGAGGAGACGCGACGCCAGCGCCAGGCCCAGGCCCAGGGCCGCCGTCCGAGCCTGGGCAAGTCCTACTCGTGGGCGTCGCCGCGGTCGGGCGACATCCCCGTGCCGCTCAGCTCGCGCGACCGCATGACGGCCGCCATCGAGGGCGCCGCGGCCCGCAACAACAACAACAACGGCTCCGTGGGGTCGACCTCTTCGCGCGCCAGCCCGAGCCGAGCCCACGCCGGCGTCAACGCCAACGGCAACAGTGGCAGCGGCGATCGTACGCTTTGGCACAAGAAGGCGCGGGTCATCCGCGAGCGATCGCAGCGCAACCTGGGCGGCAGCGGCGGTGGCGCGAGCAGGGGCGACGTGCGCACCACCAGCGAACGCAGGCTCAACTGAGACCACGCAGTACAACCTTCGTTTAAAACAAAAAAATGATCAATCAACCTCGATCGGGCTTGCAAAAAGAAAGTATGTACATTCAAAAAGGGAGAGGTTGGGGGACGCCATCATCATCATCTCGCTCGCCACCCCAAGAGCGCTCAGCCGGCAAACTGGAGCGAATCGAGATCGGGCAGGGAGTCGTCCTCGTCATGCTCCTTGGCCTCCTTCACGTTGGCCGGGTCGGGCAGGTGCTGCACCGAGGGCATGCCAGCCAGCAGCGCGGCAAGCGACGCCACCTCCGCGTCCTCCGTCTGCCTGGGCTGCTGCTGGGCCTCGGGCTGCTGCTGTCGGACGGGAGTGGCGGCCGCAGCGGCGACAGGGACGGCAGCGGCGGGGAGAGGAAGCGCTGTGGCGACGAGCTGGGCAAGCTCCTCCTCGAGCTCGGCCTCGTCGACTGAGCTGAGCTGCTCCTGGCCGGAGGAGATGGCGTCGTCGATCTCTCGCTGGTCGAGCAGGGCATCCTGGAGGTCGTCCATGACCTGGTCCACGGCCTCCACGGTCACCCCGGACTCCTCGCGGACTCGCTTGAGCGTATCCACGCCCAGCTTGAATTGGTCGATCATCTGATCGCACGACACGACACGACACGGCCTTAGTTGGATATGGGCTTGAGGCAAAGAGGTGTGGCGCCGATGGTACCTCCTTGTCAGTTTGGGTCTGTTCGATGGTGTGGAGGATCTGGTGAATGTTCTCGATGAACGACAGTCGCTTGTCGAGGACGGACTGCAGCCTCTGCTTGCGCTTGAGTTCCATCATCGCCTTGGGCTTGTTCTTTTTCTTAAGCCAGTTCGTCGCCTTCACTCGACATCTGCGCGTGTAGTGTGCGTCATGTGCGTCGTACGTGCGTGAGTGCGCAAACGAAGGGAGTAGCTTGTCACAGCTCTCGCTCAGTCCAGGCCTGTAGTCGTACCCATCAATGTCCTTGCTGAGTTGGCCCTCTTGTTTCTCCAACGAGCCGAGGGTCTCCTTCAGCTGCAGGATGCCCTTGTCCGCCTCATTGAGCTCCACCTTGCTCTCTCCGGCCTTCGCCAGCTTGACCGCCTGACGAAACGAAAGACGTGACTCTCTCAGACGTGTACGCGCAGTGAGCAAGGCCTAGGCCAGATTACTACCTTCTCTCCTCGGGCGGTCTCAAACAGGGCGGCCTTGCCGTTGGCGTGCATGTAGGTGAGGAGGATCTGCAGGTCCTGCGCGTTGAGGCCCGTGGTGTCGAGCAGCTGCCGCTGGGTGACCAGATGGTCGGCAGCAAACACACCGTCCGCGTGCTTGGACAGCACCTCATCGGCCTTGGCCTGCCGTGTGCGATCGTACGTGTGAGACAACGATAGGGCGAACAATGGGTGGGGGCAGACCTTGAGGAGCGGCAGGAGAACGAGGCGGGCCTTGGGATCGACAGTGGCCGGCTCGGCCTCGGCAGGCGCGACCACCTGACTCCAGCCCCACGAGATGGGCCGCGCCACAAGGTTGCCCCACAGCCACGAGCCCCAGCCCGCCGTCTGGGCCGCCACCTGGCCCTCGGCCACGACCATGCCCTTGCGGTTCATCTCTGCCTGCACGTAGAGACAGTAATGGATAAATTGATGCTTGATTGATGACTCTTTCAAGGAGCTAGCGAAAGTAGTCGCCCAATCGTTCTGTGGAGCCGGGTTCGTTCGTACCACGATGCTGTCCAGGCCAGCTGGAAAGTAGCCATCGCACTTGAGGCTCGACTTCAATTGATCGATTGTGAAGGAGAGGGAGTTGGTGTGCCGCATGGCGGAAGGCAGCACCCGCTCGGACCAGAAGTTCATCAATGAGTCCCATCTGTGCGGGTCTAGCTCTCGAGACAAGGGCAGAGGCGCGAAGAACTCCCGCATCGCTGATTCATCGTTCCATTCTTTGACCTCCTCGCGAAGAAATGCATCGAGACTCATTCTCTACTCCTTCCCTTGCGGTTTTGTGCCTGATCGATCACCGGGCGTAGTTGGTGTAGATTAACCGTTGCTTCGTTGCAGGCACTTCCCGCCTTTTTTCGCTCGTTTCAAAATCTCCCAATAATTTCGAAACTTAGAATACAAAGCAGAACAGAAGATGAGGGCTGCGGGGGCGATGCCGCGTGCCGGCTTGCGCTGCTGGTCGGCGCCAGGAGGGGCAGCAGGCCGGACATCCGCTCGGTGGACGCCCTCGGCATGCAGTCGTTTGCCGTCCACGCTGATTACCACCACACCCGCTCCGGCACTCCTTCGATTTCCGCCTGACGCGCTGCTCGCCAGAACCACCCGCAGGGGGTTGACCGCCTCGGCCGCCACCAGCGAAGTGTCTCGACCAGCGCACAGACCTCCGCGTCCCGCCTGGACAGGTGCCCAATTATTGATTTAAATTCTATTTATATTTATTAACATTTAAATTGTTGATTGCGTTTTACGTGTGACAGGCTCGGTGGAGGACCTCGTGGCAGAGGTGAGAGCGCTGGACAACGCTCAACCGTCCATGCCCGCCGTGGCATCGATCCTACGACGCATGCAGAGCCTGCACGACCAGGGCAAGGGTACAAACACTACTCGCCCGTGTGTAGTGCTACACGTGGTAACGAGCTGTGATCCACGCACGCACACATGCACGCACACACGCACGCACACACCACGCACGACACACACCAGATGTGGGCGTGGCTCTGGACGCGTTGAAGGAGGAGCTCAGCCGAGCCGGCCAGTGCCACCCGTTCATATGCAGCGCCCTCATCGCCCTCCTGGGCAAGCTCCAGCGTACCGACGCCGCGCTCGACCTCGTGACCCGCATGACCCAGCAGGGCTACGTACGTAGAAAGCCGGGGCTCACCGTCACTACCAAAGCTCACTCCGTGTGTTGTGGGCCGTGTCGTGTGTCGTGTGTCGCAGGTGCCCGACGTGTTTGTGCTGACCGCGCTGGTGAGCGCGCTGGGCCGGGCCGGGGAGGTGGGCAAGGCGCAGTACTTCTTCAACGAGATCCAGCGATTGGGCATGACGCCCACCCTTCATAGCTACAACTCCATGATCATGGCCTTTGCGCGTGCCGGGCGCATAGACAAGGTGCGCGATATGCTCGAGGTCATGAAGCATAAGGTACCATATATGTCACTTCACACACGACACACACGACACACACGTTTAATCATATGACGACGCAATAGGGAATAGAGCCCGACGTACGGACCTACACGGAGATCATCAACAACAGCTGCAAGGCGGGCCGGGTGGCGGAGGCGTATCAGACGTTCATTGAGATGCAGGACGTGGGCGTGCAGCCCGACCTCAAGGTCTACTCGGCGCTCATCGCCGGATTCTCTCATGTGGGCGACCACCTGAAGGCCCAACAACTGAAAGAGGTAACTTCCTTTACTGTCCTTTTTATTTTTAATTCTTTTCATTTATGATTACTGGTTATTCATATTTATTTTTTTCATCTTTATCTCTTACGTAATTAAATTGTAAAACAAAGGAAATGGAAGCGCTGGGGCTGGAGGCGTCGATGATCACCTACAGTGGCATGCTGTCGGGGCTGGCGCGCAACCGACAGCTGACGGAGATGGAGCGGGTGATCGAGGCCATGAAGAAGCGCAACATGGTGCCCAACGCCAGGGCCCTTGGTGATCTCATCAACCGAATGTCGGACACCATGCCCATGGACCAGGCCTTCAATGTACGTGCCCGGCAGCCACCTAGTTCGGCACTTGTCGCGCCGCATTCTCAACACGACACATGACACGACTCACGCGACACACAGATGGCACAAGCGCTTGTCCAGAAGAAGGTGGAGGCCAATGCGGATGTGTGGCATGCGCTGCTGCGCGTGTGCGCTAAGGCGGACGATGTGGAGAAGGGCATCAGGATACTCGACGTGATGCGCAGTCACTCGCCGGAGCTGGTGAGTGCAAGCAGCTACTGCGTGCTTATCGACACATTCGCCAAAGCCGGCCGCGTCAGCCGGGTACGCACATCACGACACGACACACGACACACGACACGCAATGCATGCGTGGACTCACGCTTTGTGTTAGGGAGCAACGCTGTTGGCACACATGCGGAAGCACAAGATCAAACCGGATGTCTCCATCTACAACGTACCACCTTCATCATCATCATCATCATCATCATCATCTCTGCAAGTGACCACTGACGCCATGTGTTGTGTGCGTTGGCAGGTCTTCATAGAAGGCGCCATGCGAGAGACGGGCTACAGCAAAGCCCTGCAGGTGTTCGAGTTGATGAAGGCCGAGGGCGTGCGGCCCTCCCACACGACCTTCTCGATACTCATCGATGCTGCCGGGCACGCCGGCCGGCCCGAGGAGGCCGAGGCCCACTTTGCCGCAATGGGCACGAGCCCGCGGCCCGACACCAACAACTACAACTCGCTCATCGAGGCCCTCGCGCGCAACGGCCAGCTCGACAAGGCCGAGCGCGTGCTCGACAGCCTGCTGCGCCACACCCACACCACCGACAACCGCGGCAGCACCGACGATCACGTGGGCCTCGCACGACCCACGGCCAAGTCGTTCAGCTCGCTGCTGGGCTTCTGCCTGGAGCGGAAGGACGTGGTGCGGGCGCGGCGGCTGGCCGAGAAGATGAGGCGGGCCAGCGTGGCGCCCGACGCCATCGCCCAGCGCCAGCTCGATCAGATCCCAGCAGAGCAGCACCATCATCACCACCAGCACCAGCCACAACGCCAGCCCAACACAGCCGACATCAACAGCAAGCGGCCCTCGCCTCGACCACAACACACGCACCCGCCACGGCGCTACACGAATCCAAAAAATGAAAGCAAATAAGAAATAAAAAAACAAAACTAATCAATATTCAATTCAATAATCGAACGCAAAGATGTACAGAGAGCTGAGCACGATTTTGAACTGGCCGGAGCCACACTTCCCCACGGGCAAGTTTATTCTCATTCGGGACTCGTTGGAGGCCGATGGCGCTGTGCTGCTGCCCCATTTCGTTTTCGGATATCTCAAGGCCAACAAGCGAGCCCTTTTGGTGGGATTGGAGCAGAGCTTCTTTCACTACTCGGGCGTTGGCCGCAAGCTGGTGCCCTCTCAAATCATCAAAATACTAATAATCAATTCCAATAACAAATAAATAATAAATAATAAATAATAAATAATAATGTTTATTTGTTATTTACAGGCGTGCAACTTGAAGGCGGCGCAGACGAAGCAGCAGTTCATGTACATCAATGCCCTCTCGACTCCCTACGACTGGTCCGCTCCTTCTACTTCATCAGCGCCGGCGGTGGCGGCAACGCCAGGACTGGACAGCTGGAGCCTGGGCGAGAACGAGGACGCCGCCTTCAAGTCGCTCTACCACAAGGTGAAGGCCTTCGTCGAGTCGAGCGAAGCGATGGACGAGGTGTGCATCGTCATCGACAACCTCAGCGTGCTGCTGGAGACCTGCCAACGGCCGGCCCTCGTGCTCGACCTCGTCCACTACCTCCAAGCCTTCATCCGACGAACCGAAGTAGCGCCGCTCCTTTCTTCTTACTCATCTCGCCTTGGTGAAGAATGTCCTCAATGTGTATGTGTGCGGTGTGTGCGGTGTGTGCGTGCGTGTGTGTGTGTGTGTGTGTGAAACAGAATCGAGCGAGCTTGGTGGTGTTGGTGCATGGCGATGTAGAAGACGATCAGAAGCTGGTGAAGGCGCTGGAGCATCGAGCAGACATCATCATGTCAGCTTCTGGTCTTCCTAGCGGCTACTCCAAGGAAGTCAACGGACAGGTACCGCACACGCATACACAACCGCACACGCACACACATACAACCGCACACGCACACGCATCACCGTTTCTTCCTTTTCTCTTGATTGCTACACCAGTACTGATGCGACACTACGCGTGCAGTTGCTCGTACACGGTAACGGTGTCCCACAATCTAAGCTGTTGCATTTCAAGTCTCACGACAACACGGTCCGCTTCATGTCCAAGTAGATCAATAAGAAGAAGAAGAAGAACAAGCACATCATCAAGTCCCTGAGCATTCCTGTTGTTGTGCGTGTCGTGCGAGTGCTGAATCGTGTCGCGGGCCTAACGTGGTCGGCGTCGGCAGGACCAAAAGTCCGGACTGTTCGTTTTTTCTGTTGATCGTTTTTTCTCTTCTTTTCGTGTTGTGGAATCCTCACAGAGCCATCATCTCATGTATGCATCCCTCCTGGCCCCTTTTCCTGCCCATCTGCCGCCGCCAGCGCTGAATCTTCATCAATTCAACAACGGCGCGGCTCGTGCCACTCAAATCTGCCAATGATCAATTTTCAATGACGTGAAATTTTGCCGGATTGATCTTGCGAAAGAATCAGCCCACATCATCTTCCTTCATCGTGCCTCGGCATGCTCGAACATTTCGCTAATGGCAACAATCATTCCGTGCCTGCGTTCATGCATGCAGACACGCGCTTCGTTCAGTCGAATAGATCAACATGCAGTCCTCCAAGCCTCTTCGCTTCGTTTTCCTGGGTCCTCCCGGCAGCGGTAAGGGCACGCAGGCCGATCTCCTGAAGAAGCAGCACACCGTGTGCCATCTCTCCACTGGCGATATGCTCCGCGCTGCCGTGGCCGAGGGCAACGAAATCGGCAGGCAGGCCAAGGAGGTCATGGCTGCCGGCAAGCTCGTGTCGGACGAGATCATGGTCAATCTGATCAAGGATAACCTCACCAAGCCTGAGTGCAAGGATGGCTTCATCCTCGATGGCTTCCCTCGCACCGTCGTCCAGGCCGAGAAGGTACCTCTTCCCCCTTCATGCAGCAATGTACATTTTTGTTTTTCTACACGCATATTGAAGGTGAATGGAATGGGCCAGACTTTCAATTGATCCACAAATTCTCTCTTGCACGTGCCCACCATCGTGCAGCTGGATGAGATGCTGGAGAAGAGCAACTCCAAGCTCACTGCCGCTCTCGAGTTCGAGATCGACGACGAGATCGTGCTCGACCGTCTCGGTGGCCGGTACGTGCACCCCGCCTCCGGCCGATCGTACCACGTCAAGTACGCGCCCCCCAAGGTCGCCGGCAAGGACGACGTACGTCTCTTCCTTCATCATCATCATCCGTTCTTCTTCTACTTCTTCTACTTCTTCGTCTTCTTCTTGTTGTTGTTACTTCCCTCCAGCTGGCAACCCGCTCACCGCACTCGCACGCATCGCCGCACACGCACGCGCATCGCCGCACACGCAACAGATCACTGGCGAGCCCTTGATCCAGCGCAGCGACGACAACCCCGAGACGATCAAGAGGCGTCTGGCCAGCTTCCACAAGGACACCGTGCCCGTGGCGGCCTACTACAAGAAGCAGGGTATCCTCGAGAAGCTCGACGCCAAGAGGAAGCCCCAGGAGGTCCACGCCAGGGTGCAGAAGATCATCGAGACGCGTCTTTGACGCGCCGACGTCGACCCTGCTGCCCTTACTCCCCACCATCACCACCTCCACTACCTCGACCACCTCCGTCGTGCCCACGATCGGTCTCCCCTCCGACTCTCGTCAACTCCTCCCTAAGCTCTGAGCTCTCTTCTCTCTCTTCAATCATCTTCAACATCCAACCCCCCCTCCCTCCCTCCCTCTCTGATCGACTGGATCGTCGGCGATCAGCTGAAGAAGAAGACACTTTTCCCATCAACCACCAACCACCAGAGGCGCTTGTGGTGTGTTATTTCATTTTTATTATTATTCTGTGTGTCGTGTCATGTGTGCGGTCGGGCGACTAGTAGCCGACTCGTCGGCGGCGGCCGCCAAAGAGTCGGGCGGGCAGAGTTACGACGCGGACGACGGCGTGGGTGATTCCACGGAGGACGGGGCTCACGATGGGGATGTGCATGCTGTTGGGGGTTCTGTGTTGTGTGCACTCAATTGAAGAAGAAGAACAGATCAGCAAGCTGGTGGTGGGTGAAGGTTGCCAGGTGAGTTGGGTGGGTGGTTTTTTTACCTGGAGGTTGTTGTGTGGTTGAAGGACCTCAGTTGGTGCTCTCTTGTTCTTGATGGGTTGTTGTTGTTGTGGCAGTGTCGTTTCGGTGTTTGTTTTATGTGTGGAAGGAACAACTCCGACTGGGAGTTTCTCTTTCAAATTTTTGGGTTTGCTGGTGGATTTCTGGCAGATGAAATCTGGGTCAGGTCTTGACCCTGCCAGAGCTCATTCGCCATTGGCAGGTCGAACTAGAACTCTACTAAAAGTTGATGATCTTCCTTTTTGAGGTCAACGGGAGTTGTGTTGGCCAGATGTTCCATGCTGAGCATTTATTAGATTTATTAGAATGCAACTTGATCATCTCAAACTTGGTTGAGATTGTACAGAAAATATGAAATGCACTCACATGTGCGCGGACGATACCGCTGGCTCCGGGTGCTTGGCGAAGGCCACCTTGTCGAACCTGAGCTCCCAGAAGTCCACAGCTGAGTAGAGCGAACCGCCACTGTACCTGAGGTTTAAAAAAGAACAGTCTCAACACTCACCCAGAAACCACACGACACGCACGCGACACGCACGACACGCACGCGACACGCGACACGCCGGACACAGTGACACGCGGGAGGGAGTACCCGCCATAGAGCAGACATGTGTCGCCGACGACGTTGGCGACGCCCATGTCCCTCGGGACCCGGGAAGTGCCCCTTGACCTGGGGCTCCTCCGCTCTGGCCCAAGTCAAGCTGACTGAACACCACAAGAAAGAAAAACGACACACATCAGAACCACACGCGTGTTGTGTCGTGTCGTGTCGTGTCGTGTCGTGTTGTGTCGTGTTGTGTCGTTGGTCGTGTCGTGTCGTTGGTCGTGTCGTGTTGTTGGTCGTGTCGTGTTGTGTCGTGTCGCACGTGGCAATGAGACGGTGTGCGTACTTGTGTCGAGCATGTAGAGCTCGTTGGTGACGGCTACGTCGTTCAGGCTCTGCCCACCGAACACGCAGAGGTGGCAGCCCGCCACGAAGAGGAACGGGTACGAGCACACCGGCGGGGTCTGCAGCGCGCTGGGCAGGTGGGTCCATTGTCGCGCCCCTTTGACCCAACAGCGCCTCAGTAAGTGGTCCGCCATGTCGAGTTGACCGCGGGGGCGGGGAGTTGTACGAGTGTCGTAGATGCAGAGTTCGTTGAGCTTGGTGTGCCAACCGTCATCAACCGACCACACGCCTCCGCCGAACAGGAACACCCTGAGAATCGGCGCGCGCGGTGAGTCGTCGCACGACACGCACACACACACGACACGACACGCACACGCACACGACACACACGACACGACACACGACACACACACGACACGACACGACACGACACAAACTAACAACAATGCGTGCGCACCTCTGACCGAGCGATACCATGCGATGGCCCACGCGCGGGGACGGACACTTGAACCTCGTGTCCAGGCGGGTCCACGTCATCGTCTCCGTCTGTACATGGCCCACGCGCCGCCCGCATGCGAGGCGTCAACACAGCTCATGGGGGGGAGGGGTAGAGAGAGGTCTCCCCCGCGAAGGGGGCTACATACGTCGAATTCATGGAAGTCGCCCAGGATCGTGTAGTGGCCCTGCAGGTTGGCCGATCCGCCGAACACGTACCTAATAAGGGGTGGCCAGAAGGGGGGGGTGAGTGACGTCAGCACCTGTCTTAACACGGGGGGGCTATAGAGGTCACCGGTGTACATTTTGTTGCCGACGGCGGCGGCCGAGTGGTTGGAGCGAGGCGGCGGCTCCTCGCCGTGGACCTTGGGGTACGTCCAGGTCAGCGCCTCTGCGTGTGTGGAATGACAGATATGCCAAGCGTGAGCCTAGCAAGGCAGCACATTCCACACACATGCACGTGTGGCGTGTGTGGCGTGCGTGGCGTGTGTGGCGTGCGTGGCGTGCGTGGCGTGTACCGGTGTCGAACAGGGCGAGGCCGAAGAAGGAGCCGATCCCGTCGTAGCCGCCGTAGACCCATATCTTGGTGCCGATCGCCACCGCCGTGTGCCGCGCAAAGTTGGGCACCGCTCCGCTCACCAGCTCCACCCTCTCGAACGAGCCCTTATCTGCATACGCCCCCCCCCCACCAATCACCACCATCACCACCACCATCCACATCACCACCGTCATTATCATCATCATTCACGCTTCGCACGAGCTTGCTGCTGGTGGTTGGGTGGAAAAGAGGTTTCGAACCAACGTCGTAGGCCCAGATTTCGTTGAGGCGAGGCACGTCGGGCGACGTCTGGCCGCCGATGTAGTAGATCTTCCTGCCCACCTGAGCCCGGCCGCACAATGCCAACCGAGACACGACCACACACAGTGGAGGCAGAAGCGCACGCACACGGTTCGATCAGTGCCCTAACGTTGTTTCTCTCTCTCACTATTTACGGTGGAGATCGAAGGCGGTACCACGGTGCCGGTGTGGGTGTAGCGCGACACGGGCGCTTCTCCGATCTTGGCCTTGGTCTTCCATTCCATGGCCCCTGCACCCACACGTTTCGTTTGGTTTTGTTATGTTTCGTTTTCGTTTTCGTTTTTGTTTTCGGTTTCGTTTTCTGATCTTGTGATTTGATTAAAATAAGTAATTTCCTCAATGAGGAAAGAGGAAGAGGGGAAGAAGAGGGAGAGAGACCTTCGCGGAAGAGGGCGAGCTTCTCTTTGACGAAGCAGCGCCACGGGACGTCGATGCCCGCCGACTGACGCAAGCCGCGCCCGCGCACCCCCCACCTGCCCTTCACCACCGCTCTACAAAAAAAAGAGATAAACAAATATATATTTGTTATATCAATAAAATCCACATTACAACCAATTAAAATAAATATTAATTGTAGTAATATACTATTATGAATATATGGAAGATAACTTATAATTAATAATTTACCTCCAGTAGTGGTCGTCGAGGTAAATGGAGTAGAGGCGGTGGCAGGCGGCGAAGGCGTTGGAGGCGTCGGCCAGGCTCGAGAGCGAGGCCAGCACCCGCACCAGCAGCTCGTCCGGCAGCGCCAACAGGTCGAGCAGCCGCCGTTGGAAGTGGGCGGCCGTAGCCACGCCCCCCTCTTCTTCCCCGCTTCCTCTTCCGCCTTCAGCAAGTACCTCGACCAGTTCTCCGCCCCAGGCCTCCGTGTAGTCCATCACGTCCACCTCTCCGCCTCCCACAACAACAAGGGGGTGGTCTTTTTCTTCTCCTTCCGGTGGTGTCGAGTCCATGGCTTTCTTCTTTGTACCTTCTAGCTCCTCCTTCTCCTTCTTCTTCTTCGGCTGGCTCCTCTCCTGCTACGGTGACGGCGGCAACAAGGGGGGGTAAGATGACCTCCAGCGGAGTGTGCCCCCGGGACCTGGGATTGACGTCCACGTCAGCGTGACAACGCCGATTAAAACACGTTCTGCGGAAAGTGCGACGGAATGGCTTGCGGAGTGGGCACCCCACCTTCCGAGCTCCACACGTGGCCACGACCGACATGTTTGGCAAACACGCTGCGCAACACACCCATTAGTAGTAATTAATGATCATTTTGATTGATGATAATTATATTTATTATTTATTATTTACTCTATTACTTGTTTATTTTTATACACAGGTTGCATCTCAACGCCCGCTTTTGCTCGCTCGCTTCTCAATGGGCCTCGCCTTCGCCGATGAAGATGCTGCGCTCGCCCTGTGTCGTGGGCGCGTAGCCCTCCTCCTGGGGCTTCTCCTGCTGCTGCTGCTCCTCGAGGAGGGTGGCCTTGCTCTCGATGGTCTCCCCTGCAGGCTTCGCCTCTTGCTCCTCCTTCTTCTCGAGCTGCGGCGGCTGAACCTCGACGCGCTCCTTCTCCTCCTCCTTGGTCGGCTCGATCGGCACCTCCTTCTCGGCCTGGAGCTGCGGCGGCTGCTGAGCCTCCACGCGCTCCTCCTCCTTCGCCTCCACCTGCGGCTGCTCCATCTGCGGTTGTTGCGGCGGCTGAGCCTCTACGCGCTCCTTCTCCTCCTCCTCCTTCGTCTTCTCGACCTGCGGCTGCTCGGCGGTCGTGGCCTCCTCGGGGGTCTTGATCTCGATGGTCTCCTGCTTGCCCTCCTCAGCAGGCCTCGCCTCTTCCTCCTCCTTCTCGAGCTGCGGCGGCTGAACCTCGACGCGCTCCTCCTTCTTTTCGACCTGCGGCTGCTCGGCGGTTGTGGTCTCCTCCGGTGTCTTGATCTCGATGGTCTCCTGCTTGCCCTCCTCGGTAGGCTTCGCCTCTTCCTCCTTCTTCTCAAGCGGCGGCAGCTGAGGCTCTACGCGCTCCGCCTCCTTCACCTCCTCCTTCTCGACCAGCGGCGGCTGCTCCATCTTCTCCTCCTTCTTCTCTTCCTCCTTCGCCTCCATCTTCTTCTCCTCTTCCTTCTTCTCGAACGGGGGCTGCTCCACTTCCTCCTTCTTCTCGAGCTGCGGCTGCTCCATCTTCTCCTCTTTCTTCTCCTCCTCCTTCGCCTCCATCTTCTCCTCTTCCTTCTTCTCGAACTGCTGCGGCGGCGGCTGGGCCTCTACGCGCTCCTCCTCCTGCTTCTCCTCTTCGGCCCTCTTCTTCTCGACCTTGGGCTGCTGCTCGACCTGCAGCGCCTGCGGCTGCGGCTGCGGCTTGGCCACGAGGCCTCCGCCCTCCTTGATGTCGATGGTCTGCCGCTTGGCGCCGCGCTCCCGGGTCGGCTTCGGGATGACCACCTCGAGCACGCCGTTCGCGTAGTCGGCCCGGATCTGGCGGGCCTCGACGCCCGCCGGGAGCAGCAGCGTGCGGTAGAAGTCGCCCTCGAACCGCTCGCGACGGACCCACCTCTCCTCCTCCATCTTCTTCTTCTCCTTCTTCTCCTCCATCTCCTCCATCTTCTCGGCGGCGGGCCGGGTGCGCTTGTGTCCCTCGAGCACGAGCCGGTTGTCGCCGGTCACGCTCAGCTTGATGTCGTCGAGGTTGCAGCCGGGCAGCTCGGCGTGGATCACGATCGACTGTTCGGTCTCCCACACGTCGAGGTTCGGCGACCACCTCGCCCTCGCCCTGGTGGCGGTGGTCAGCTGGGGCGCGCCGGTGATAGTCGCCACGGGCGCGGCGGTCGTGGTGGCGGTGAAGGCGCTCATGAGGCGGTCCATCTGCCTCTGCATGTCGAGCAGGTCTGCGAACGGGTCGGTGAATCCTAAGAGTGTAGACATGTCGCTCTCTCTCTGTGTAGGCTTGAAGCTGTTGTTGCGGTGGTGGTGGTGGTGTAGTGACCTGTTGTGGTGGTGGTGGTGGTGTAGTGGTTAGCTGGTGGTGGTTGATCGCGTGCGCGAGTGCAGGGGCGAGCTTGGTATTTATACCTGGGGTGGAGGGAAACTCGGGCAGGATTCGAGCCAGGAGCCGGCGGATGGCGGTCGACCCGTCGCGTGGGCCAGGATTGATGAGCCGAATGGTTCCGGCGTCGGGCAGTTGACGAGGATATCAAGGCGCCGCCAATCGAAAATAACCAGAAAATTACCATGGAACACAGAATACAGAAATCCAATAAATATTTATATCAAATATTCTCAGTATTAGAGAAATTATTCCTAAAATCCCAGTAATTGGAATAAATTAAGTATATTCAGCAAGTACACGTGACGAAGAACAAGATGAGAGAAGTGAGGGGACGGAGGGGGGAAGAGGGGAGTGGGCAGGCACCCAAAGGACTCGTCTAGGCGATGTAGTGCGACGCGTGCGAGGATGCTGATGATGACGATGACGTGGCCGACGTGGAGGTCGACGTGGCAGCAGCGCCAGACTGCGGGTCGGCAGCGGGGTTGGTGGCGGCGGCGGGCGGCCGCTCGGGCGGGATGGGCATGTGGGTGAGCCACAGGTGGGGCGCCTGCTCCTGGAGCGCGGTGAGGTGCTCGTGCTGTCGCCGCGCCACGCCCTCCCACTTCTCCGTCTCGCCGCGGCCATAGTCGGGCAGGCTGAGCGGGGTCGGATCCAACTGCTTCACCGCAAAGGCCGGCGCCAGCAGCGTGCCCACCGCCTGGTTGAGCCGGTTGTAGCCTTGATACGCAACGCACGACACACAACGACACACAACGACACACACGACACAACGACACACACGACGTCAATCGAACACGTCACCTTCAATGGGGAGGCGGAGTGGAGTGGTTGCGCGGCCTACCTTCGTCGGTGATGGGGAAAGCGCGGCTGTTGTACCAGCCGGTGATCTCACTCTTGAGCTGGACGAAGAACGGGTCGGCCCTGTCGAGGAGCTGAACGGCGTACAGGGTGGACCGGTTGAGCAGGGGCAGCGCGTCCACGTAGTTACCCGTCACGAGCTTCTGCTTGGCCTCCTCCGCCATTCTCTGCGATGGAAAAAAACGAGTGAGTGAATGTGAGTGTGGCGAGCCGCGTGAATGGGCGTGGGCGGAGGCTGTGTACGTGAAGGCAGAACTTGATGCTGCACATGATCTGGGTGGCCCGCTTCACCTCCATGTGCTCCACCTGGTTGTCGGCGACCAGGGCGAGCTTGAAGGCGTTCATGGCCTGGTCGTGCCTGCGCTCGAGGAAGAAGTTGAGTCCGGCCGTGTAGAGCTGGGCCGTCTTCCTGAAGTCCTGGAACTCTTTCCTCAGCACGTCCGCCTGCCCGTGCCCAGAACATATCAGTTACTGACCGTGCGTGGTGTTGACGTGGTGGATGGTCGTGATGGACGTACGGCATTGTCAAAGACGCTGGCGATGGCGAGCTGGGTGTTATCCTCGCCGATGAGGTCGGACACCTTCTTGTAGTAGCTCGAGTCCATGTCCTTCTCGAGACCCTTCTCGAAGGTTTGGACGTAGACGTCCTTGATGATCTCGTTCCTGGCCATGTCCTCCATGCCGATGGCGGTCAAGAATGCGTAGAAGCTGCGCCGCACCCACCCAAAAGAACAAGAAAACGAAAAAGAAAGGAAAGGAAAAAGTTTAGTTCGGCAAAAATCATCGATGGTGAGAGAAAGAGAAGGTGGCGCACCTCTTGATCCTGAGGTCCTTCACGTTGGCGGTGTAGATGGCGTCCTCGGTGTACTGCTTGGCTTCGGCCAGCTTGTTCTCGTAGGTGTTCTTGAACTGGGTCACCTTGTCCTCCGACGCACTCATGTTGAACTTCTCCACCGTCTCCAGGAACTTGACGTTGTCGGCCTCGATCTCATCCTGCGCGCGCACGCAACCGCACGGTGTCAGGCCCAACACGCAATACTGAAGCCGAGTGCGAATTGTAGCTCTACCTTGATGGTCTTGGTGCTGAGGTACTGGCCATCGGTCTCGGCGTCGGGCAGGAAGGCCTCCTGGATGGCCTTCAAGGTGTCCGTCTCCACGTAGATCAGGAAATAGCCCGTAGCAGTGCCAGACCCACCGATCGCGTCGGCGAACACAGTTGCTGCGTCGGCCTTCACAAAATAAAGCAATAAATGAGCAATTAGCGTGAAAAAAAGGGGAAGACTCTTCCAGGTATGCGGCTGGCAAGCAACAATACCTCGGTGACCAGGATGTCGTTGAACTTGAGCCACTCCTTCTCTTCCTCCTTGTCGATCATTTCGAGCTCCTGGGTAGCCGCGGCGCCCTCGGTAGGCTCGGTGTCGGCTGTGACCTCTTGCATGGGCTCCTTGTCCTTCGCCTTGGCTGCTTCGTCCACGCAACCCATCAACAAACGTTAGTTGTCTAAAATCAACTTAAAGAAATGATAATCATCCAACTTGTGGTAAATGTAGTAGCAACATAAAGCTGCACGGTGGTGGCGTACAATCCTCAGTCTGACCCGGGGCAGCGGTAGGAGCAGGGGCAGCGGCGGCAGGCCTCTTCCTCTTGCCGGCACGGATGTAGGCCCAGTAGTGCCCGCTGCCGGCCACACCGGCGTGGATCCACACGGCAAAGAGCGAGTAGGAGGCCTTGCGAGGGAACTGATCGTAGGCTCCCGCAATCTTGGTGCGGTATACCTGCGCCTCCTCCTGAAGCTCTGTATATCGTTGGTGTGTGTGTGTGTGTGTGTGTGAAAGTGAGGTTCGCCCAGTCGCATACACACAGACAAGACTTTTTTTTTAAGATTTGTGCGTACGTTTGAGCTTGTCTGTTTCGAGCTTGTAGAAGGTGTTGAGCAATTGAATGGAGGCCGCGAGGCCGTCGTCGCCCTCCTTCTCGCTCAGGTAGTCCGCCGCACTCTGGAGAGCTTCGGGCAGCCCATGCGAACGACCCTATCATTATTACACAGAGCAGTCAGCATGAGCTTGTGAACCCCTGACGAGTATCTAGGAGGCTGCCTCCAAGAAGTACGTACCTTATAGTTGGTGATGGCCTTGATGTTCTTGTCCAGTACGTTCAGGTCAGATCGCCACTGGGTCACCACCCTCCTCACCTGGGTCGTCTGCTCTCGCTGCTCGAGGAAATATCGGTCCATGAACACCTCCGGGTCGAAGCGCAACGGCGTGTTGAGCTTCCGGTACGAGCCGCTCGCCACGTCGAACTTGACTCGCTGCACATGGGACCCATATCACTAGACTATCAGTCTCAACCGCAACGCAACGCAACGTGCACACGCTTAAGCGGCGAACGAACGTTTTGCTGGAGCATGAGCACGGGAGGCAGCTTCTTGAACCACCTGGACTGCTCGGCGACTGTCGCGTGGCCCTTTTCGGTCGTGTAGTTCACGGCATCCACCATGTAGCTGTCGAGCGCCTCGTAAAGATCCTTCTCCTCCTCCACCACCGGCAAAATCTGATCATAGAAGTTGGCCGGTATTAGAATCTGCAAAGCAAACAACAACCGCTGGCACTTATGAGGGGAGTGGTACCAGATGTGCCACGACGACGCCGTCCTGGGTCGTCTCAATGGGCGAACCGTCGGCTTCGTGCGCGTTCAGGTACTCTACAGCCAGGCCTTGGAACATGCTGTTGTTGTAGCCAACGAGAGGTCATGATTAGTCCTTGTATTCTAGAGATATACCACGCTCACTTCAACGTACTTCTTGATCATTTCAGAGTTGTTCTTGGAGTTGGTGAGCTTGGAGGTGAGGTCCAGGCCTTCGGCGATTCTCTCCAGGAAGAGCTCGTTGAACTCTGTGTCGTGTGTGTTGTGTGTGTGTGTGTGTTGTGTGTGTGTGTGTGTGAGAGAGAGAGAGAGAGAGCCAACGGGGTAAGTATGAGCGTGTGGCCCGATCTACATGGTTGTGTGAGTGGGCGAGAAACGGTACCGCTCACGTCCTCTTGGTTGCCGATATTTACAGGGGTGCCGTTGCGATCCAGGATCTTCTTGAGAAGCGCCGAAGGGTCGACCCACTTCTGGTTGGTGAACAGGAAGTAGGCAAAGATCCGCTGCAGCTCCTTCATGACTGACCCAACACAATTTGTTGCGATGTGTGAGAGGTGACCACTAAGGAGTGGGCAGGAGGACGGTTGGTTAGTGTGTGAATCGTGCGTACAGTCGACCGTGGCAGCCTTGTCGGTCTTCTTGGCGGCTTCGTCAGCTGGGAACGACAGAATGGCTTGTCGCAGGCTCGGAATGTAAAAATACGTCTGTGCGCCTTGTGGTTAGGACCCCAACAGCCACACACTTTAAAGGAAGCACGCGTGAGCCAGGTACCTGCAGCAGTGAGTTGAAGTAGCAGGTGTTGCCGACGTTACGGAGTCCGACGGGCAGCCCTCCCTCACGCTTGCGGTGGTTGGGATTGTTGGACACGAGGCTCACCGCGTCGGAACCGACTCCGCTCTCCAACAGCGAACGTTCGACCGCCTGCTGGATTTGCCTGAAGGTGCGATGACAGACGAAGGGGTGAGCAGAGCTGGCCGACGTGGTCGCCCTGAGCCTGAGCAGGCACGTTCACACTAGAGTGTGCAACCCGTACATTTCATCGGCAGAGAGGCCGAAGCCCGTCTGATCTACCTCCATCTGGTTGGCGCTCTTCAAGCTGGCCGCCAGGGCGAGCTGCATCTCGCGCTCTTCCTTGGCTGTCCTCGCACACGTACAACGTGAGCAAGACACTCCCATGGAGTAAAAAAAGAGAGCCAGTACGCACTCAAGGGCTCAGGGCCTGAACCGCCGAACTCTTGCTTGCTGAGCGCCAGCGCTTTGGCAAGGTCATCGTCCACATCGTTGGCCTTGCCTCTACATGAAGTGAATATAAATATAAATTATAAATCAAATATAAATGTTGTTAATCTTGTTGAAGGGTTCGCTGTGGCAGGATGCACGTACGCTGGTGTGCCTGCGGCCTGTTGCAAGGCGCTTGTGAGGATGTCCTGGGTCAATCCGACGGGCACGTGTGGGTTGGCAGCACCACCAGCTGGTTGGTTCACTGACGTTGGTGGCTTACTCGGTGGCTCCTGCCACGAACCTTGAATCTTGCTCCACTCTTCGATCGCACGTGCGATGTCGCCATTTGCCCTCTGATGAGAGCAAACAATGAGCCACACTGGAATAATCCGTAAAAAAAGAGGAAAAAAAAATAACGGGAGCAGACTTACCCTAAGGCACTCGACAGCGCCACCACGAGGGAGGCCAGCTGAGATGAGAAACTCCAAATTGGAAGAGTCGGCCTCGTTTCCCTGAGGCCATTGAGGGATCAGGTGATTATTGAAGCTGGCGACGATCTCAGAGGGGAGGCCATACCATTATCGAAGCTACAAAAACGCGTGGTTAAAAGAAATGAGAATACTGTTCAAATTGACAACAATCTTGCGTCCCTCGTGTGCCCTTTGTTGATCGTTGCTTCGGTGCAGCGCAACAAACAAGTTGCTGTCTTGGAAAAAGCGAGAAAATGTTTTTTTCGATGATTTGTTTGGCGCCATTTGTTTTGGCGGGAAGACAACAAGAACACGCCACGACAGGAACACGGCGCATTGGACGAACATTCGGGCATTGGAGGCTTGATTTTTTCGGGAGAACGTCTAAATGCAGCCGAAGAAGATTGGACAACGCGGCCGGGTGAACACACGAGTCACCGCCCTGCCGTCCTATCCGTCAGAGATTCAGAAATGGACTGAATTCCTGAGCAACTTCAGCGGAGAGGAAGGAGACAAATATGCGCAGCGTATACGGGAGATCAGGAGACGGCGAGCAAAGGAAATCGTAATAGAGGTCGACGATTTGAAGCACGTACGTGTCCATTTCATGATTTAATTTATTTCTTATTGACAGCTTCCACATGTGTGCAGTATGCCGATAGGTGGGTGGAAGCCGAGAAAGCCGCAGAATGGGATCAATTCATTCGCAATGTCGAACGAAACTGCTTGCGCTACGTCAAGCTGCTGCAGGAGGCCGTCGACGAGATGCTCGACGCCCTGCCGCTGCCGCAAGTTGGCTCCGGTACACGCATCTCCTGCAACTCTCCCAGAGCTCTCTCTTCCTTGTCTTCTCCTGATCACCTCCTTGCCAGATGTCTCCACGAGGGATGTGGAGGCCATCGTTCGCGACCATCAGCTTCGCGGGGTCCGCATTCCCGGCACCAACATGGTGCGCACTGACGTCGGCCGCGAGAACCTCTCCAGCGGAGCCCAGGACGGCGCGGCGGTTCAGCCGGCCGCCCTCCCCAAATCCCTCACACGAAGCTAGTGCGTACACCTTGGCCTTCTTCGCGATCGGGCTGAAATGGTTCCTGTCTTCTCGAATCCTCATCGGTGTTGTTGGCTTGGCACTTGCGTGCAGCGAGGCGCGCATCCTTGGGTCGCAGGATACTAAGGTGATCCCACTGCGCAAGGTGGGCGCTCGGCACATCGGCAGCCTGGTGCGCATCCGGGGCATGGTGACCCGCACGACCGAAGTGAAGCCTCTGATGATCGTGGCAGCCTACACGTGCTCGGACTGCGAGACCGCCATCTATCAGGTCCTTACAGCTACTCACCTTCCACATTATTCTTATTTATTATAATTTCTCTTACCCGCGCCTGCGCGGCCACGTGAACAGGAAGTGCTCGGCAAGACGTTCATGCCAATCATTCAATGCCCTTCGGCCGAGTGCCAGAAGAAGCAGACCAAGGGCAGACTGCATCCACACATGCGCGCGTCCAAGTTCACGAAGTTTCAGGAAGTGCGAATCCAAGAAGTACGTCACTTCTTGGCTGTCGTGAAGAGCGAGAAGTGCGACATGAGAGCTGAACGCCACTGCTATCCACCAGATTGCCGAAGAGGTGCCCATGGGCCACGTACCCACCAGTCTCATTGTACACGCGCGAGGCGAAGCATCTCGAAAGTGTGGACCTGGCGACATTGTCACACTCTGGGGCATCTTCCTGCCGACTCCCGCCTCGGGTTCGTATTGTCATGCGCACCTCCACGACACTCACGCATGTCTTTGTTGCAACTGGAAGTAACGGACTGCGGTCTTGCCACACACAGGTTTCAAAGCCATGCTTCCCGGAGCGTTGCTGTCCGAAACCTTCATGGATGCCATGGCCATCCACCGACACAAGAAGTCCTACCTCGAATACTCCATTACCCCGATGATGGAAAGGTACGTACACTGGTCTCGCGTTCTCCTATCTTCGCTGTTGTATGCTTTGTTGCTCACTTTTTGTTCTTCTCTCACGGTCACCACAGGGAAATCATGGCCTTGGCTGAGAGCCCTCGAGCCTACGCCACGCTGGCTTCGTCTCTCGCTCCCGAGATCTTTGGTCACGACGTGCGTATCTCCCAATTACTTCTCGCACTCATTCTTGCTCCCGACCGTAACCTGGCACGTTGGTTTTATAGGACGTCAAGAAGGCCCTGCTGCTGCTGATGGTGGGTGGAGTGACCAAGGACATGGGCGCCGGAATGCGCATCAGAGGCGACATCAACATCTGCCTCATGGGCGACCCCGGTGTGGCCAAGTCGCAGCTGCTCAAACACATCTCTCGCGTCGCCCCACGAGCCATTTACACGTCCGGCAAGGGATCGTCAGGCGTCGGTCTCACCGCCGCCGTGATCAAGGACCCGATTTCGGGCGAGCTGGTGCTCGAGGGCGGTGCGCTCGTGCTGGCCGACATGGGCGTGTGCTGCATCGACGAGTTCGACAAGATGGACGACTCGGACAGAACGGCCATTCACGAAGTGATGGAGCAGCAGACCGTGTCGATCGCGAAGGCAGGCATCACCACGCGCTTGAACGCTCGCACATCAATCCTGGCCGCGGCCAACCCTGCGTTCGGTCGCTACAACCCCCACCGATCCCCAGGTGAGGCCCGCACCACTACTCTCTCTCTCTCTCCCTCTCACAAAAAACGCGCACTAACTTCTTTTTCGTGGACAGAGGAGAACATCAACTTGCCGGCTGCTCTGCTCTCGCGATTCGATTTGCTGTTCCTCGTGCTCGATAGACCCTCGCGGAGCGCCGACTTGGAGTTGGCGCGACATGTGTGTCACGTGCACAGGCACGGCAAGCACCCCGGCGCCGGTGGCGACGGTATGAAGACGCCCGAGTTTATGCGCGCCTACATCTCGCTCGCCCGTAAGGTGGAGCCCGCCGTGCCTGACCACCTCATCTCCTACATCACCGATGCCTACGTCAACATGCGTTCCAGGTACTCCAGCTTTTCTTGTTTCCAAATCAAACATTTGACGTTTTGTTTACCTCGTGTCGTCATGTGTTTCATGTTGTGTCGTGCGTCGTGCGTCGTGCGTCGTGCGTGGTGTGTGTTACTCGGCGCACACAGCGGCGGGATGTCAGGGTCGGCTGCCTCGGCTGGCTACACATACACAACGGCCCGTACGCTTCTGGGCATCTTGCGTCTGGGCCAGGCGCTGGCCCGGATTCGGTTCAGCGACGAGATATCGCAGGCCGACGTCGACGAGGCCATGCGACTCATGCACTCCTCCAAGGCCTCGCTCTACGAACCCACCCAGGTACGAACTGCTCTCACACCTCTCAGGTTAGCAGCAATCTGTAAGCATCAGCTCACGCCCATGCCACTTCGTCTTCACCCTCCCTCAGGGCCGCACCAACGCGATCGATCCGGTGTCAGCAATCTATTCGCTTGTGCGCGACTGGGCCTCGACGCACCAGACGCTCATCGTTAAGGAAGACGAGATCCTTCCTCAGGTAACGTCCGCACTTCTTACGTCTTCATTCTGCACACGACCATCGTCGTTCGTCGTCAACGTTCAGCTGACCATCGCCATTGCCATACCGCAGGTGCTGGCTCGCGGATTCACGTTGGACCAGCTGCGAGAGTGCATCCAGGAGTACGAGATGATCAATATTTGGACCCACTCGGCTGCCAGCCGCGAGATACGCTTCATGTCTTACGCTTAATCAAGGCCAACGTAGGCCAAAGCTCCTTCAACTCATGATGTACTTACTCAAGAAGAAAAGCTCTTTCCTCTTACCAAAAAGTTCATAGGAAGCAAATCAGAATAGATTAGCAAGATTAACTGTTGAAGCCACGTGGAAGAAAAGTAGTAGTTGTGGGTCATTGTTGTGCTTTGTGTCTTGGGATTATTGGTAGTGAGAAGTGTAACTGTAGGAAGCCATCCTTCAACCACGCATGAAAGGCGTGGTCGAGCAGACAAATGATATCCTGAGCTCTAACGCTGGAATGGACACCGCCTGCCCCTTCTGCGGGGGCAGCCGGCAACGCCTTATCCAAACGTACGTGCTTAGCAAATTTTCTCCGCTCCTGTTCTCTACGTTTTATCTCACTCTTCTCACTCCGCAATTATGGGTCGCCTTGCACCCTCATCACAGGAGTGTTTTCCTGTTCCCAAAGGACCTCATGCCTCTATTGACAGCAGCAAGGACAGACTTGTGTCCAGCAAACTTCGAGTGCCTGATTTATCTTGACAAGGCACCGAAATGGACATTTTATTACCAAGCTCCATGGTGTAGTTGGCAGCATGCGTGATTTTGGTTCACGTGACCTGAGTTCGATTCTCGGTGGGGCTAAATCGTTTTTTATCATTTCTTTTCTTTCTCGTTCGAAAGAAATACGGGCGAAACGCCGGCACCCGGCGGTCTAAAGATTGAACCGCGCGCGCATCAAGCAAACCTCATGCACGCAACAAGGAATCGCACGCAGGCGGTCATCGAGGCACTCAGAAAATCGCCCTGTGCCGACCTGTGCGAGCGGGCGGCGATGCCCCTCTTTTTATTGTTTGGCGAAGCGCTCGGTGCGAGCGTCGCGTTCCTCGTCCTCTACTTGGGGTTCGAGGAACCCCTCCGCTTCTCCATCTTCACGAGCCTCATGCTGGGCCTCCCCGTGGGCGGGGTCTGTTTCCTCGTAATCCTTCTGGTCTGCCATATCCCCTTGCTGCTGCGAACGGTGGCCGAGGCGACGGTGGACACCTGGGCCATGGTGCGTACTGCCCTCGCCACATACGACGAGGTGCCACCCCACGATGAGCCTTCTGTCGAAGACGAAGAAAACCAGCTTCCAGGCCAACTGTGACCCCCCCCAGTGAACCACTTCTTCGTTTGATGTAGGAGGTGTTTTTACATGTGTAAATAGTATAAAAATATATATGTCACAAAATACAAACAAGTACTTGTTACTTGCTACTAGTAGCGGGCGCGTTGGCTGAGCTTCTCGATGAAGATGTCGTAGAAGTCCTGGCTGGCCTTCAGGACCACCTCGACGGGCTTGCCCTCGACGTTGTCGATCACGGTGCGGCCGATCTGCGTGTACTGATCGATCACGACCGTCATGTTGACCGTCACCTGCTCCACGACGATCGACGGGTCGGCCAGCACGCCGGCGGCGAGCGGGTCCCACAGCGAGATGTTCGAGCCGAAGGCCTTGATGGTGGCCAGCAGGGCGTGCACCCACCCGGCCTCCTTGGTGCGCCGGGCCTTCTGCCCCAGCTCGGCGATAAAGTCGTCGGCGATCGGGAAGTCGTCGGTGGCGTCGAGCGGGATCAGCGTGATCGGCACCCCCGAGATGAACACGTTACGCGCCGACTCGGGGTCGAGGTAACTGATAACATAAACATCGGAAGTCAGGCCTCGCACCGCACACACACACACACACACACACACCGCACACACCGCACACACCGCACACAAGGAAACACACACGTACATGTTGCATTCGGCGTAGGTGTTGGGCACGTTGCCGCGGGGAAAGAAGAGGTTGCCGGGCACGTTGACAGCGCCGCCCATGATGTAGATGCGGTCGACGCGCTGCTTGAGCTCCGGGAAGCGGCGGAAGAGGTAGTCGATCTCGGTCAGGGTGCCCAGCGAGAGGAAGACGATGGGGCCGTCGATCTCGGCCATGGCCTGCGGCAGCCGGTCGTAGACCTGCGGGAAGCCCGGGTAGTAGTTGCGCTGCGGGTCGGTCAGGCGCGGGTAGCGCTGGTTGAGGCCCACGGCCGTGTCGGCCCACACCTTGCCGCGCGGGAACAGCGGCACGGTCTTCTGGTACTTGCACGAGTAGTTGCCCGAGTCGAGCTCGGCCGAGGCGTAGGCCTCGCCGGCCCACACGGGCACGTCGTCGCGGTCCATGTAGGCCAGGAGGCCGAACAGGTTCTGGATGCCGGGGCCCATGTTGCAGAAGCCCGCGCAGCCGGGAATGAGGCCGCCCACCTCGAGGTGCGAGTACTTGAGCAGGTACTTGATGGCCATGAAGTCGTCGATGTTCACGTCGTTGAAGATGAACACCGTCGGCTTCGGCGGCTGCGGGCTTCGGCTAGGCCGCGGGTGGTGTCCGTGGCCGCCGCCATTGCCATGGCCGTTGTTGTTGTTGGAGGGCGAGGCGTGGGCGAGGGAGGCGAGTAGGAAGGTGAGGGCGACGAGGGCCGCGAACAAGACGAGGGACCTGGCCATGGTGGGCGAGGTGAGGTTGTAGTGGTGAATGGTTGTCTGTGTGGTTTGAGGTTGAGGCAGTTGAAAGTCGGCTTTTATGGGGCGGATGTGGCGATGGTCACGTATGATTGGGTGGGTGTTGGAGAGCGCACGGAGAACCCAAGCCCGTTTTTGATGTCCAATGGCCGACGTGTTGCATGCCGGAGTTGGTGGGAGAGTAATCTGATTGTGTTGCAACTGTCCACTGGGGAGATGAGTTAAACTAGTTCGCCAATCAGCCATTTCCAACTGTTCGAACTTTTTGGCCGATCGCCAGCCATTGGGGCGTGTGAGCTAAGTTTGGTGCTAACTTTGCAAAGCCCGGTGTTCGCAGCCACCAAATGCGCAGCATGAGGTAAATATGTTAAAACACCACATATTGTCTCAAAAAAGGCAATAAGTCTATTGGGTACACAAGCGTACATCTCATCATCAGCAAACCGAGTTGTAGCGGTAGGGCAGGAAGCAGCCCGTGTTGTACCTGAAGGCCGGGCGTGGTAAGTCGGAGAAGAAGAAGAAAAAAAGAAGAAGAAGAAGAAGTAGAAAGAGTGGAGTGTGGTGGTACCAGTAGGGGTAGGGAGTCACGCGGCGGACGGTTCCCTCGCCGGGGCGGGTCTCCTCGTAGGCGATGTAGTGGCTGGGGCCAGACCAACCGCCGAAGATCACCACGTGCTCGGAGCGGCACAGCAGCACGTCGCCCGGCTGGAGCTGCGGTAGAGGGAAAAACCAGAAGTGGTGAGACTGGGCCAGGCTAGCAATCATCTGTGTGTAGTGCGAAGTGGTCGTACCGCTCCCCTGGCGATAGGGTGAGAAATCTGGGGCAGAGTCGACGTGACGTAGCCCGGCTGGGAGGTCTGCCACGCCATGCTGACGTAGCCTGTGCACATGGAAAGGAGTCAATGTCAGCTGCTGCGAGAAGCGAACATAAGTAGGAGGAGGGGTTCACGAACCAGAGCAATCAGTGCGGTAGCCCGCGTAGCGGCCGGTCTGGCTGTAGGGCACGTGGTGGTTCACCCAATCCTGGGCGCGGGCCATCTGCGCACACACAAGTGGTCAGGGCAGGCCACTTGGCTGGAGGCGCAGCGCACACATGTGGAGGTGGTGGTACGATGGTGCTGCGGGCGTGGCAGCCCACGGACGGATCAGCGGTCTGGTTGGTGTGCGAGCAGTCCTTGGGCACGTTGAACATGCTCGCAGCGGGCGTCTCGGCGATCCAGTGCAGGAACTCGATCGACACGGCTGGCGGGTGAAGGGGGTGAAGAGCGTATGAGAGCTAATAGTAGAGAAGAAAGGGCAGGTAGCAGGGCGAGAAGGCTCGTACTGCGGTAGTCGCCATCAACAATGAACCAGCGAGGGGTGGAGTCGCTCTGGAAGTAGAGGCTCACAGTCGCATAGCCCATCTGCTCGATCAATGTAATCTTTTGTGAGTCCAAGTGCCCGCTACTCGCGAGCATGAAGTAGCAGAAGTAGTGGAACGTACGGTAAAGGTCCAGGCGCTGAACTTCTCGTGGCCGACGTACTTGGTGGACTCGGTGGCGAGGGAGACCCAGTCCCACACGGGCGACATGGGACCTTCAAGCGGCAGCTCGACGCAAGCATCACCGCTCGCCTCGTCGTACGCGGCCAACTGGTGCGCCCCAACATTCCAGCCACGTCAGCGTCTTGGTATGCGGGGAATGCCACATAACTCGCATAACTCGCACACAAAACTGCGGAGAGCACTCACCAGGTCGAAGCGCTGGAGGTGGAGTTCGTTGAGAGGGTGGTGCTGGCCGAACTGGAAGCGTTGGATGGTCTTGCCGCCCTTGAGCGAGCTGGCCCAAAAACCTATGATCATACACACATTCAAACTTCAATAAAAGTTGTCTACGCGGAGTTGCAGAACCAGCGAAAGGGGGGGAGGGTGGTGCACCATGGCCGGTGATGTTGGGGGTGGAGCCGGTCTTGTCGGCGAGGGTGACCCTGATGATGGAGGAAAACTCCTCCGATACCTTGGGCGGGGCGGCCAGCGCAGCGACGGCCAAGCACAAGAAGAGGAGTACGCAAGCGAACGTCGTCTTCATTCTTTGGTTGGAAAGAGAGAGAAGTGTTTTGGTTGCGGTGGGCGAGAACAATGAGGACCGCAGTGTGGGTGAAACGACCAACACAGCAAGAGATTTTTATGGCGACTTAGTGTTGCTAGCTGTTCATTGGCTAGCTGGAAAAGCGTCCGCCTTTCACCCACGTCACGTGTGTCTGACTGCCTAGAAGCTGGTCCCCACGGGCACGTGCATTGATGCGGCAGAAGCTGGCCCCACGGGTACCGTTGATGCAAGCATGACCCAGTGCGCAGGTGCTTGCCGGCCAAGGTAGCGCAACTGCACGCGGTTCGACTTGAAGAGGGCGACTGCGTGCAGCTCCTGGTCGGGCTGCACCACAGGGATGCCTGGCCACACGCCCACGCCCACGCCCACGCCCACGCCCACGCCCACGCCCACGCCCACGCCCACGCCCACGCCCACGCCCACGCCCACGCCCACGCCCACGCAACAGGCACACACGACGACTCTGCTGTCAGCCGACCATGGCCGCACCACGCAGATAAAGGGTCAGCAAGAGGGAAGAGGACCTTGTTTGCTGGCCTTGGCCTTGATCTGGACGGCACCCTCACACCGGTCCAGCGCGAACCCTTCGGAGCCCTGGCGCACCCCATTAAAGAAGAAGTGGACCAGGCCCTGCTCGAGGTCGACCTCCATGCCGCACTTGTCGCCCCGGCGGAACTTGGGGTAGGCGAACGTCGGATTGCTATCCAGAGCGTAGACTCCACCGCAGTTGTACCAACCGATACCCTACAACGGAGGCCACACAGCACACAGCACACAGCACACAGCACACAGCACAGCACACAGCACACAGCACACACAGAGCGCGCGTTCGTTGGTGGTTGATGGAAGAAGACCACAATGTAGCACGAATGTAGGAGTGAGAAATTAGCAAGCACCTGGTTGCTTTTCAAAAAGCTTTGAAGTTGAGCCAGCCCCTTGGTCGCCACGCCGAAGCCGCACGTGCGCTCGTCGGACAGGCTGTCCAAGACCTCGAACTCAAAGTAGTGGACTCCATCCCTTGTTTTCCCTAGTGTGAGTCAACTGCACGCAACGCAACGCACGCAACGCAACGAAGCAGTGAAGTATGTGTCTGTACGAGAGCGTGCGAGCGCTAAAGGCAGCTGCAAACGAGGTCGAGGTGTTGGAGGCGACCTGCCCATCTTTGCTGATTGAGCACTTGTCGTTGGCTCTGTCCCACGTCTGCCTGTGTGGTGGTAAGAAGTAGTCGTCGAGTTGGTTACCACCAGCAGGTGCGTGCGTCTACCAGGAACAATGCTCAGACCACCACCCACGACAACGTACGTGACCAATTCCTTGTACTGCTCGAAGCATGACATCTCTCTGCGGTGATCATGGCCCACGCCCAGCTGCACCAGCCGCGTACTGTCAGTACCTGCGCGCATGCACGGGATTGGAGGTACCCACGTCTTCCAGCAGTCGGCGACGCCAGACTCTGGCGTGAGAGAGAACAATGGGACGTAAGTAGTAAAACTGTGCTTTAAATATTTTTATTCTAATTAAGTGCTTATAAATAAATATATAGGGGAGCATACCACTGTCGTCAAGAACGAGCTCGCGCCATGGGTGGGAAACCAGCTGTACGGTGGTCACCAATGCTTTTGCTGGGATGTGGGCGAACACCTCGCACACCAGCTCTTGTGGCAGCTCGCCCAGCATCCTCCTCGTGAAAATGAAAAATGAAGAATGCAAGAAAATGTGAATGAAAATGGAAATGTACATGCATTGTTTTTACATTTATTTTTTTAACACCGGGGAATGACTTCGCGGAATTGCGGAATTTTGCGTGCCCTTATCTTCCAGCCAGAAAAAAGTTGTTGTTTTCAAGAGAACACTTCCAACGAAACAAGATGGGACACCTCTCCACGAGCCGATCTTTCTTCTGATACTGGTGGTAGTGGTGACTCTGATGGTGGGCGTGGCGTCGGGCCAGAGCGACTGCCAGGGCAAGGTGGGCAGCTACGCCTACGACCTCACCCCGCTGGCGCGGAGAATTGGCGCCGTGGACCTGCAGGCGACCGACAGCCGGGGCTGGACCTACTACTACCGCGTGTGCGGCGTCGTGAGCAACAAGTTATGTCAGTCCGACGACGACATGACGCCCGCCGTGTGCCAGACGGACTCTCGAGTGCCTGCGCACTGGTACGGCGACTGTGGGAACCAGAAGACGGCCACCTTCAGTTCCTTGCCGAGTGGCAACGACAACGCGGGCTTCACGCTCACTTACACTGGCGGCCTCGACGGCCGCGCTGCCCACATACCTGCACACCAGCCTCTATCTCCATTTGGATCCAAATAGTTCTATTTATTATTATTATTATTATTATTATTAACGATTTACTGTTGTGCGTGGGGAGCAGCGACCCGAGCAAGGACCGGCGTGTTCTCGTTCATCGCGGAGAATCCCTTCCTGACCTACAACCTTCAGTTCGTGTCCAAGTACGCGTGCCCGACGATCGTCGCCAGCCCGAGCCCGGCGCCACCGAGCAGGGACAACGCGTGCTGCCTCTACCAATTCGACTCCGACCCGAACATGACGAGGACCCTGTGCGCCTCCAAGTGCCCGGTGTTCTTCGCGCTGGTCTACAACTGGACCTCGAGGATCAATCAACAAAAGGAAGCTCATTTTTTACGATTTGTATGCTTTTTTTATTTCTTAATCTCGCAGGCTGCCCAAGGAACAATAAAAACCGGGGGCGAATGGGGTGGTGGCTAAACTTCGTGTTAGTTGAGGTTGAAAGAAAACAAAGCGAAGGGCCGGGCCGGGCTTGTGTCGGGCAGCACAACTTCTCTTGTGAGGGCGCCAATTTTGTTTATAATCCTTGTTGTCTTCCAATGACTGAACCTTCGTCGACCGAGGACGTGGAGCACTGTGTGTTGGCATCGTGGCGCCGCTGGCCACGCATCGAGAAGGCTCATGCGGCAACAGACGACGCCGCGCTGGTGCGCTACTTCATGAGTCCGCCGGAGGAGACCGACGAGAGCCGGCCCGACCTGGCGCTCGGGTCCCTCTTCGGGTGGCTCTTCGCTGCCGACAGTCCTAACGGCGGGCTCGCATTCCTGGTGGAGCCCCAGGGCTCTACGGAGAAGGCCGAGGTGTGGCGCGCGCTGGTCAAGCCGCTGGTGCGGGCGGTCAAGGCGCAGGACAACGCCCGGCCCAAGTACGGACAGTTCATACATCACCCGCCGCCCGTCGAGAGCGTCAAGCTGATGCTCCAAAGCAGCCAGCCGGATATCATTTTGGGTGTGTGCGTGTGCGTGCGCGTGTGTGCGTGTGTGCGTGTGTGGTGCGTGTGCGCGCGCGCGAATGTCGTTCGTCGCTGAACTGTAACCTCGTTTGTGCGTGTGCGGTGGTGTGTGCAGTTGGACTGCGCGTGGCTCGCCTCAGCGGATTGTCGCTGCTCGAACAAGTCCTGCCTCAATTGGAGCCCCTGCTCCAGCACACTGATGACACCATACGCCGTAGCGCCACCAACACCCTTTCCGTCCACATCTCTCATTCCACCATCAACGCGCCCAATCCCGCACAAGTCCGCCTGCTGAAGGTGCACACCGACCTTCTCCCGCACCCTGAAACGTGTAATGACTCATGCGGTGTGCGTCACCTTCATCATCATCATCATCACCACCACCATCGTGGACGCTGATCAGCGACTGCTGAGCACGCTGCCCGATGAGAAGGACCCGAAAGTGCTGGCCAAGGGGCTTGAGATCCTGGTCTGCGCCGATAAGAACAACGACGGCTGGTTCACCCCGTCCGAACTCTTATCGCTCAGCGCACACGGCATGTTGGTACGTGGTTTATCTTCCAACGCTGACAGACGTTCTTCCGCAATCGCAACCAATAGCCATGCCCGCTCTATTTTTTACACACTGTAGCACGTCAACGCGCAAGTGGCGGCCAACGCCGAGCAATTGCTGTCTATGTGCTGCGCCTTATTCGACGAAGATAGGATGCAATACGACGTCAACTTGAGTGCGACGGCGTCAAGGTAATGATCAGGACAAACCAACTGCGGCAAGTGGCGGTGCAGTAGGCTGACGTGGCGGCCACCCGGNTGAACTGACGTTGTGCGATCAGGCTCATCGGCGGATTGATCGACAACACCGAAATGGAGTGGGTGCGAGTCGACAGTCTTGTCTCGCTGACGCTCGACCACCTGGCCATGCAGCCCGAATCGCAGCAATTACGCGACATCCTGCCCCTTGAACTCCTCGAAGCGCTCCGTGCCAGGCGACTTGGTTTTTGCCTCCCACTTGACCTCGCGCGCTCGCACACGCACACACACAAACACACACACACGACACACACGGCACACATCTGACACACACGACACAATATTCGCGCGCGCACCGTCCACTGATATGTTGGCCCGATCAGAGCGCATCGAGGGGCCTCCAGGTACAGTGTGGTGGAGTCTTGCCAAGGGTCAGAAGAAGAACAGGTGGCGGCTCCGCACGGCCAGCTTCAAGTGCCTTCAGCTCCTCACCGATGGAGCACCGGTCTTCTCCAAGATCCTCGCGGACAAGCTGAAGCCGCTGCTGGGCCGACCAGGTCTTCCATGGCCTATCAGGTGCGTGTGTCGCGTGTGTTGTGTTTGTGCCGTGTGCCGTGTGGTGCGTGTGTGTGTGTGTGTCGTGTGTTAACACAGAAGCACATGCCCAGAGAAAAGGTGCTACTGCTGATGCGGCTGGTTCTGATGGATCTGCGGCCAGTATTGAGGAAGCTGCCCTTTTACTTAAATGACAGCGAGGTGCGCCCTTGTGTCCACCGCATATCGCACGACCACGAGAGGTGCAGCGAACCACACTGTCGAATCTGACCGTGTGGGTCCTTCATCTGATCGCCAGTGGCGCGTGCGGACCACGGCGTTCCACACGGTGCTTTGCCTTGAGGCAAGCACCACCAACTTGCTGAAGACATTGTCACAATCGGCGTCGGTGGCGGAAGAGGCCGCCAGGCTGATGGGCGACTCGGCGCAATTCTCCTCCGTCCACGAAGGCACAATGGTACCCTCTTTTTTCTTGCCCCGTGTCGGTGGGCAGGTGGGTGTTGGTGCGGCGCTGACGAATGAAGATTCTGCTTTCTTGCTCGTTCTTTAGGTCGGGAGGAAAATCTTGAGCCTGCTGGAGATACTCGGTGAGCACGGTGTGCCTATCACCGCAGCCATTACGCCCCAAGCTATTCAGGAGGCTGTGGCCATGGCATCGGTTCGTAACACCGCACACGCCGCACACGAGCGGCACACACCGCTCACGACACACAGCCTCAACACAAGTTGATACCTACCAACCGAACCGGTGCGAGGGCAGGCGCGCGAAGCGAAGACAGCCAAGACCGGCGGAGCGTTTCTTCGTTTGGTGCTCTCCACACGTCCGAGTGAGTTGACCCCAGAATTACCTGCCCTAGTCCGCCAGATCTGTTTCCAACGAACCATGTGGAAACTCCACTCCACCTTCTCTGTACGTCTTGTGTCTGTGTCGTGTGTGTCGTGTATGTCGTGTGTGTTGTGCGTGTCGTGCGTGTCGTGCGTGAGTGCTGATGAGTTCGTGCAGGCGACCTTGTGCGCGTGCTGGGCAGTGAGATGGGTCCGTACGCGGGGGACATCGCCAGCGGCATCGAGGCGGCCTTCATCACTTTTCCTGGGCACATCGTACCCAAGACCCCCGAGGTCCTGCCCGCGATCCGCGCGCTGGTCCTCCTCTCCGTTCACCACGTCGTCGCGGCGCCCGCGGCTCTGCTGGGCTTCGTCACGCGCCTCAAATTCCACACCGGCCTCCTACCCACGAGCACTGCAGTGCCAGGAATTCCAAGCACGAGCGACGACAACCACCTGCCCAGGGAAATCGAGGGCTGGCCAACCTTCTGATCCGCACCTTTGACGGCCGCAATGACGTTGACGGCGCAGCAGCGACGCGCGAGCAACGCGCGGCCGAGGCGACCGGCGCGCTGCTGCTGATGGTGCGGCTGGTCAACGAGGTCATGGCCCCGCGCATCGCGTTCGGGGCGGGATTCGATCCCACCGGCGGTGCCGCTTCGGCGGAAACGAGGGCCAAGGTGGTCGAGGCCGTGCGATTGGCGGTCGAGAGGGGAGCCGCGGGCGCAAGCGAAGAAGAACGAGAGGGCTTCGTGCGGCGGTTCTCCGAGGGCCACTTCAGTAACGTGGTGGACCGGCAGGCGTGCGCCAACCACCTGCGCGCGTTCGTCGGCGCCGAAGCGGCGTTGGCCAGGTCGGCGAGTGCCCCACCAACACTGCCCGACGTACTGCTCGCGTTGGTCGCCAGAGATCAGTGATCAGCCCCACCAGGTGGAGGGCACCCAGTAAATACAAAGCGAAATAAAACCCAACAATAATAACAATGTGGAGCAAAAAAATTCCTCACATATATACGTGTTGTGCCCGTCAGCTTCGAGAAGGCTGAGCTGGGTGGACCAGTTGGGTCAGCCACCAGGCCAGCGTGCCGTTGGCCCACTCCTTGCCGCCGCTCTGCCGAATGTGCAGCACGTGGGCCTCCCGCGCGGGCCACATGTCCGTCGAGTAGCCCACGCTGAAGTGCAGGTAGGGCTGCACGGCGCCGTTGACGTTGAACAGGCTCTTGCCCTGCCAGTCCCAGCCGCCGCCGCCGGCCTCGGCCATGGCCTGAAACTGGGCGCCGTCGCGGCTCAGCACGCCGCGCAGGAATGCGGGCAGCCCGGGCTCGACTAGGCCGTTGGCCTGGGTGCGCCCGACGCGCAGCCGATGCAGGTAGGCGTGGCCGCCGGTCTCCAGCAGCTCGCGGTTGCGCGCGATGAAGGTCTTGACATCGACCCGCTCGTAGGGCGGCTCGGCGCTGAACAGCTGCACGAACTCGTCGGTGTCGACCAGGAACACAAAGTCGAAGTCGGCCTGAAACCGCACGAAGCCGTCCCACACGAGCAGCTCCTGCAGGTAGCAGTAGGTGACCTTGTCGTCGCGGCCCGGCGCGTCGACGGCGACGATGGTGACCCGCTCCAGCACGCCCGGGTGGCCCGCCAGGCGCCGCTCGACGGCCTTGATGTCCAGATCGACCGAGGCCAGCTCGAGCACCACGTGGTCCACGCCCACGACGTCGAGCGTCCACAGCAGCCAGAGATCGTCGTCGGCCGTCCACGTGAACTTTTTGGTGATCCACGCGCCCACCCGCACCGTCGCGTCGTCGCCCGTGGCCCGCACGATCGGCCCCAGCCCGCGGCGGCTTCTGCCGGCCCACGGCGCCGACGGTAACGGCTTTCGTTTGGCGATGGCCGTGGCGGTGGTGGTGATGGACAGCAGCGGGGCCAGCTTGGGGAAGTGGAGCACCTGGTCGAGCGGGAAGAAGGCCACCTCCTCGGCGGCGAACACGGCGAAGCGCATGTCGGGCCGCGTCAGCCAGGCGCCGTCGGGCACGAAGAACGCGCAGCGCACGATGAGCTCCAGGTGCTCCGGCCGGAAGCCGTAGCGGTAGTAGGCGCCCAGCGGCATGTCGATGACGTAGTCGTGGGCCGGCAGCTTGACCTCGACGCGCTCTCGGGTGCGGGGGTTGTAGTCGGTCCACCAGAGCTCGATGGCCTGGAAGGTGCGCTCGACGGGCACTTGGGTGCGCACGTAGTTGAAGGCGTGGATGGTGAGGGCGAGGTGGAGCTGAAAGATGCGAAGGCTCGGGTTGTGCCGTCGGGTGAGGTTGTGGAAGGTACGGGGGCGGAGGGGGGCGGGCAGGGCCGACACGTTGGGCCAGGTGCGGTGGTCCTGGCTCACGGCGATGACCTGGGCGCGGCCCGAGGGTGTCGAGACGAAGGCGTTCCACGGCACATGGAAGGGTTCGGCCGCAGAGGAAAAGGATGAAGAAGAAGAAGACGACAAAAAGAAGAAGAAAAAGAAGAAGAAGCAGCAGAAGATGGAGGCCAGCAGTGGTTGTCGCTGGTCCAGAGCTGGACCCGCACGAAGGACAAGGCGACCAGGAAAAAGATGCAGAAGAGCATGACCCACAGCAGGCGCCTGCGTGGACGTGGCAGCAGCAGCTGCGCGGTACCCACCATGGCTGTGTGTGCGGTGCCGGAAGGACGTCAAGGCGTGTAGTGATGTTTTGTTTTAATTCCGGACCGCGCTACTCAGCTCCGGAGTTGGCCTTACTTGAACCTGGTGCGCTCGGCCTCTTGGCTTTGGTTCACGGCAGGGCCTTCTTTCGTCGGTTTGCCTGGCACGCGCAGAGCTCCACCACTACACCTTCATGGAAGCCGAGCTCGCCAGAATCAGGCAGCACAGTGTGTGTAACGGATTGCATTGGTCGACCTTGTGATTAAAACAAGAGTGGGCCTGGGCGTCTAGCAGGGGAAGTTGGGGAAGGCGGCCTGGAGGCAGGGGCAGCAGGTCGAGGCGGCGCTGCCGACGCAGTCGAGGCACTGGGTGCTGAAGCTGGTGCACTGGCTGGCGCAGCCGGCGATGACCGACGCGCACTGAATACCTATGGACTGCACCCCACAAAAAGCATGAGCCTCGAGGAGTGCCTTGAGGCTTTGATAGAATAGGAATATAAAAATATACCAAATTAAATTAAATTAAATTACAATTTATTATTATTTTATTTTAATACTTAAAATCCGGACTTACCGAGCTCGATGGTGCAATCGAAGGGGGCGTCAACCTTAGCTCCGGTGCTGGGCACAAGAACCGGGTAAAGTTAGGGTATGGCACAATGTGATGATGAAAGAAGGCACAATGGGGATAATAGGGCACAAAAAAAAAAAAAAAGACGGAGAGGCTGCATACTCGACCCAGTTGGGAACGGTCTTGACGGGCCTCATGCGGCCATAGGGGGTGGCGAGGGCCACAGCGAGGAAAGCGAGGAGGAGAACGAAAGCGACCTTCATCTTTGAGCTGTTGGTGTGTCAAGTGTTAGAGAGGCGATGCAAACGGATGCGTGGTTGTGCCCCATCAGTGGTCGACATCAAATCACGATTGGATGATGGAATTACATGCCTCACATGCCGAATCCGCAACTCCCGATCGCGCTGGTGCTTGCCTAAAAGTCGCTCTTGTTCTCGAGCCCGAGGATTCTAAACCCGTGCGGGGGCGTGGAAGGGATGACGACGTGTTGACCTGTGTGGTCCACCTGCAGCTCGGCCTGAGTGTGGGCCTGTGCCTGGTCGTCCGCGCCCGCATCATACCTGTCGACCACCTGCGTGCCCGGTGGGTGTTGATGCGGCAGGCGCACCTCCAGGCCGCCGATGGCCTGATCGCTCAGATTTACCACCACGAGGGCCTCTTCACTGTCGGCGGCGGGCGACGTGCGCACGAATGCAAAGACTTGGTCGTCGTGGCTGGTGGTGGCCCGGTGCATGGTGCCGTCGACGAACACGGCGGGCCAGCGGCGCCGCAGGCCGATGAGTTGGGCGTAGTGGCGGCGGAAGCGTTGGCCGATGTCAGACGCGGCCAGGTCGGCCCATGGGATGACCGTCTTGTCGAAGAGGCTCAATCGCAGCGTGTTGGCTACCTCGTCTCCGTTGTACCTGCAAGCGTTCACCATCATCAACTGAATGAGCCACGGTGCGCAAACAGATCATCGAAGGAGGGGTGACGCACAGCATGGGCACGGAGCGGATGGAGCCGTAGCCGCCCGCGGTGAAGATGAAGGCCGATGTGGCCAGCGCCGCCGGCGCGCCGCCAAAGTGCTCCAGAGGCGATCCGTCGGTGAAGTTCTTGTCGTGGTTGGTGATGAATCTCATCCGTAGCGTGCCCTCCGGGTACTCCTACACGTTCCAGTCAATACTATTACAACATACAAGCTCCACAAATAAGAAAATTAATAATTATTATGGTAAATGTGAATACCTGAGCTTCGGCCTGGAGGACGTCGTGTAGGTGGCTGGCGGGCTGCTGGCGTCGAACGATGGCGGTGAGGGCGTCGTAGGTGGTCCAGGCGTAGGTGAGGTCGAACGCGCCGACGTGATGCTCGGGCAGGGTGCCCTCGGAGATCATCAGGATGTCGGGCTTGACCTCGCGCTTGATCTCGCGCACGACGCGCCGCCAGAAGAAGGTGGGCACCATCTCGCTCACGTCGCACCGGAAGCCATCGATGTCGAAATCCCGCACCCAGCTCTTCATCACGCCCGCCATGTAGTCGCCCAGCGCCCGCTGCGCCTCAGTCTTCTTCTTCTGCCGCTTCTTTCCAGGCCTTGTCGGGGTTCCATCGACAGGAATCGCGATTTCCACCAGGTTGTCGACAACCTGGTGCGTTGACTCGGGAATGGGGAGGAATTCATCTGCGACGTCAGCGTAGCTGGGCTCGAAGTCTTCATCGTCCGAGTCGGAGAGGCCGTAGTCGAGTGCGGCCACGTCCCACCAGGCCTCCATCGGCGGCAGGATCACCTCCTCCTCGAGGTCCGCCATTTCTTCCTCATCAGCACTCACCTCGTTGTCGAGTCCTTCCCGCTCCCTTCGGATCTTCTCACGGACGTCGTCGATCGTCACCTCCTTGTCGTCGAGAAGAAGGCCGGCCTCACCTCCCACGACTTCGTTGTCAGCTCGCTCGACAAGTTCGGCCGTCTTCTTCCGTCTTCCGCGCTTGAAGAAATGAGGCCGGTTCTCGATCAGGTGCGAGTCCCACGACGTGTGGTTGGCCACCCAGTCGATGATGACCTTCATCCCGCGGTCGTGGGCCGCCTGGACAAGGTCCTTGAAATCTGTTGTAGAGCCGAGCTCGCTGCAGATTTCCTCGTAGTTTCGTACGGCGTAG